GTCAGTTTTGATTAAAGTGGATCACATATAATACAAATAATATGTTTTTGTTGTTATTTAAGGAACAACAAGACTTTTTTTATATCAGGTTGTTTAACCGTAGCTAGAAACAAGCAGCGTTTGTTGCCATGAAGCAACAGAGTACAGATGTGTTTTAGATGCTGTCCTCGTCCACCCGTACTCAGTAGAAGGAACTTTCTGGTGTTCTTGCTAAGCACATATTCGTCTAGTATACAAGAATGGCGTCCTTGAGTATTGAGAAATGGTCTTGGGTTTCCAGAACTTTGCAGCATTAGGGACACAGACATAGGTAAATCTGGTATTGCATAAGTATTAAACACATACTTAATATTGCATTGATGTTACTGTGTCTAGTATGTTGTTACTGTGGATGCCTCAGTCTATCTCTGAAGGAGCTTTCCATGGCCTCTGCAGTGGAATATAGTGGTGGTAGGGTTTTTTAAGATGTAGGTCATCTTCACCACCATCCTCCTTTCACACAACATCTCAACTGGACAGCCCAGAACTGAGCTAGCTTTTTAACTAGCTTGTTCAGTCTCTTTCTGTCCTGGTCAGAGCTGCCTGCACCCCAGCAGACCACAGCTCAATGGATAACAGAGCCAACAATAGTAACAACAGAGTGATAAAAGGATTTTAGTAGCTGGGGGTTAATTCAAGATTATTTAATTCAAGTTTGTTTATATAGCACCAAATCACAACAAGAGTCGTCTCAAGGCACTTCACATGGTAAACATTCCAATACAGGTCAGTTCATTAAGCCAATCAGAAAAAAAGTTTCCTATATAAGGAACCCAACAGATTGCATCGAGTCACTGACTAGTGTCAGAGTCTTTACAGCAATCCTCTTACTAAGCAAGCATTTAGTGACAGTGGAGAGAAAAACTCCCTTTTAACAGGAAGAAACCTCCAGAGGATCCTGGCTCAGTATAAGCAGCCATTCCGAAGGACCTCAGGCTCCTCAGGAGGTGGAGGTGGCTTTGGCCCTTCTTAAGGTTGGTTTATGCTTGACGCGTCCGCGAGGTCCGCACGGCTCCACGCGGAAAAGTTGTGTCATTTTGCGTCATTTTAACAACCACGCCCCTCCACCGCATCTCCGCACGACTCAAAATTTCCGCAACGCGCACCTCGGAGAATTTCTGACCACGCGGACGGACGGACGCGGAAAAACATGGCGGACCGGCAAGAACTAGTATGGCAGAGGTTCGTAAATACAGACATTTGTATGATCCAGCTCTCAGAGATCACTATGATCAACATGTTGTTATTAATTCGTGGAGAGAAATAACTTGCACTGTCGGAAAAGACGAGGACGCTGTTAAAAATGCTGAAATGCCATGTTGTAAACAGTAATTTCTACTTCTACTATGGTGTAGTGTTGGATGCATGCCGTAGAGCTCCATGCTGCCCCCTGCAGTTTGGGAGAATATTGGCTCACCGCAGAGACGAGACGCACGAACCATGAACGCTGCGAGTTGTGAAGCGCTTTCCATCCGCGAGCCGCATCACCGCGCGGAAAGTGAATGCATCAAGCATAAACCAAGCTTTATACAGAGCATCTGTGTTGTGGGACCAGTTGAGTTTATTGCTGCTGAGTTGAACACCCAAGCACTTAAAGGTATCCACCACCTCAATGTCTGCTTCCTGGATGTTTACTGGTGAGTGAGGGGGAATGTTTCTCTGGAAGTCAATCACAATTCCCTTTGTATTACTGGTGTTCAAGCAAAGATGGTTATGCTCACACCAGTCCACGATGACTGACCTGTACTCCAGGTCATTCCCCCCAGACACACAGCTGACAATGGCCAAGTCATCAGAAAACTTCTGGAGCTGCTGGTGCTGCAGGTGAAGTCCGAGGTGTAGAAGGTGAACAAAAAGGATGAGAGCACCGTACCCTGCGGAGCTCCATTGCTACACGCAACCACCTCAGACATACAGTTGCGCAGTCTCACGTACTGTGCAAGATTTATGCTAATTTTAAAAGATATGTCTATCAAACTGTTTATTGAATTCGAACAAATGATAGTGGCTGAGGTAAGAAGGTTTGCAAACATTCTTCCCAATATTTATTAAATCTCATTTGGCAATGCCATGTGTTAAAGTGTTTAGAGTTTAACAAATGTTCTGCGTGCTACGATCTGCCAAGTCTTGCTTCTCGTTTTAACATAAATATTGAGGCCTGTCAGGACAAAGAAAGAATCACCACTGGAAATGACAAGTTTTGGCTCACAAAACCAAAACGTTAATGGATCTTTGGAGGAAAATGGAGGGAAAACTACTAAACATGAAGTAAAACAAGATGAATATTTCCAACATAATTTATCCCAGCAGGGAAAAACACACAGAGAGAGACACACACCAAGAAGACTGGCTATGAAGCATTTTGATAATCCAGGATTTCATTTTCAGCAACACCTTTAAATGTATTCATCTGCTCCACTGCTCAAATGCTTTATTATTCATCTCAAAGAACTGAATCACACACACACACACACACACACACACACACACACACACACACACACACACACACACACACACACACACACACACACACACACACACACACACACACACACACACACACACACACACACAGAATGTTTCCACCAGTTCTGCCTGCTGACAGAGACACGTCCTGCCACATGGGAAGCTTTTTTCCAGGAAGACTCCTGACAGGATGACAGACCTCAGAGTAAAGCAGAATCAGTTGAGATGGCAACACAAAAACAACTTGCTTCTGCTTTAAACTCTTTTGAATTTACACACACACACACACACACACATATATATATATATATATATATATATATATATATATATATATATATATATATATATACACATAAATATATCCTAATATCTATGCTCCAGTTCCTTCTTACCTGCTCTCTTGCATTTTGCAGTGTTGTCAGATTTAATTTTTTTAGGCGGCTTTTCCAGCAAACATGTGGTTTTCAATTGGATTAGATACTTTTGCCTTCATCTTGTCTTAATTTAGATATCACTACAAAAGCCTCAGGGACCCATCCATCTGCACTGTAAATGTTAACAGAACAATGAATGAGAAGAGCTCTTCCACTTTCATCTTTCTACTTCCTGCCGTCCTCTGGAAATGATGAGACGCCCAAGCCACTGGACGCTAGTGCCAGTTCTGCAACACACCATAATCTCTGCCACAGACTTAATGAGCTTAATGCGCACTCCCAGGCTTTAGAGGCATGAACACACTGTACTGTAATGAAGCAACAGCTTTTATGGAGTGTTTGCACTCACCTTCCATTTTCTGATTTATTATTACTTTTCAATTATTTTTATGCATCTGATCGCAAATGAAGTGCACTAACCGCTGACATGCTTCTCAGCCTGAGGAGCATTATTCATAAACAAACCATGTGTAGTGATGCAGTCTGTTAAATGCAGACCAGAATCTCACAACGATGCAGAGGCTTCCAAGAACAGGACCAGATTTCTGAGCTTGATTGGGGATCAACTCTGATTCAGTTCTCAAGCCCACTCAGTCACTGTGGCTCTAACACACACTTTTCCCCCTTCTGCAAATAAATATCCACATCACAGACCAGTATTAATCAGCACGTGTCCCTGTTTAAATCCGCAATCAGGAATTAATGCAGCCGCAAGTTAAGAAGACACAAATCTGCCCTAAAACTAAACCAAGAATGCAATGGGTGGTAAACAAAGCAGCAAGGAAATAAACCAAAGCCTCAGCCTTATTCTGGATTAACATAAAAGTGATGATGAAGACATTTGATTGGCTTTATGTAATCATATTTTGACCAAATTTAAGGTGACTAAATTTTCAACACATTACAAAGCAGCAGCCACAAGATTTTTTTTTATTGCAGACCATTTGAACTTTCACATTTATCTTAGCTTTTAATTATCTGAGATGCAGCAGCAGCAGTTGAGGACACTATGTACATTTTGTTAATGTGTCACCATGGAGACAGGGATGTTTTACATCTGACTGTGTCCAGTCACTTGATAAACCATGGAAAGTCTGACGATGTTCTGGAGTTAATCTCAAGGTCTAAATGCATTTGTAATTTAGGAAATTTTAGTGTTGGAACTGATGGTGTGGTGTTATTTTATGAGATAAGGAGAAAGTTTACCTAAAATACCTTTGCAGATAACCAAAGCATTTTCCTTCTCTCTGATTTAGAGAAATCCATCATGAAGATTCATACAGGGTGTGGTTACGATAGCATGAACCTGCATACAAAACACAAAGCTGCATGAAAAGCTGAGTCATCTTTTTGGCGAGGGAGGCAAAGCATGCATATGGATCTCAATAATCAGCCACAGAGAGGAAAGAACTTTAGTTTTCCTTCTGGCAAAGGAAGAAACAGTACATTTCCAGACAAAATAAAAAAATTGGGTCTACGTTTTTTGTTTGGTTGGTTGATTGATTTAGTTAGTTCGTTAGTCATTAAACTAATTAATTATTTATAATTGTCAACTCTGATATCAAAAGCCGTAACCTCACAAAGCTACATTTGCATTTTTATGAAGTGGATATCTCCATAGCTTTTGAAGTTGTGATAGACGTTGTTAGAAGTTTCAAGCAAGCTAAACACTTGTTTAAACCAGAACACAGTAGTAGGCTATCATACCATTTAAATAATCTGGTAAACAACGCCTAACGTTTTTTTTATACTGTGTTTTGCTCTAAACCACTTACGCTATATTTCAGTTTTATAAGTGGGTTTCAAGTCAAAGGTGTTGAACAGTTTTGAATTGTAAGACAGGAGCGAATGTCTAAAAATGGACCGAATAACTTTAATGTGCCTTACTAGATATAAATCTCTTTGTTTATTATGTAGTGTCCATTTTTAAAAAGTCTGTTTTGAATTTCTTTGACTGAGTTCCACTAAACCCCACCCCCCTGCGCTTTGTCCAATCAGAGCGGACGAAACGGGCTCGAGGCAGAGAGCAGCGCGAGCAGGCGGTAGGGGGAGGGTCACGTGTGTACACACTGCAGGGCTCAGCAGCAGCGCTCCAGCAGTAGTAGTAAAGTCTGTAACGGTCGGCCCCCTTTCACACCGAGCCTCGTACGAAAAGTTGATAGGTGACGCGGGTCTTAACGGAAATCCGACTAAACGGTTTGTGTTCGCTCACCTTGTCGCTTTCACGCTTCATGGGTTTGGAGACAACCGGAAGAGATTTATCCGCGTCTATTTCCAAATGAAGCAATTGAGAAATGTCAGTGGAAATGCTACATCCAAATCCAATGCCCCCGTAGGTTTGTCGCCGATCCAAACCTATACGTTTGTGGTGAGTTTTGTGTCGTTTTTATCATCTTATTGTGCTAACTGAGACGCTAGCCTCTCTGCTTTATCTCCTAAATGTAAGTAAAGGTGAACTAGCCCCACTGAGGATGTTTACATGAGAGGAAAAAGTGGCTTTATTTGGCTAAAGTAGTAGAGTAAAAGGTGACATCCGTCTGCTCCATTTATTTACATAGTCAAATATGGTGGCATATGTAAAAGAAGCGGCGAATTGTCGTTGTCTTTGAAGCTTTGTTCTGCAAAAGCTCCGACCTTGTTTGAAAACAACACCTGGAGATGTTTCTCACGGGATCCGCTTTCTCAAGTGCAAGGTTGAAGCAGTTTGTGAATCGCCTCAGTTCAAATTCTCACCCTTAACCCACACAAAGTTCCGTTTTAATACCGATTCTCCTCAACTCGCATGTTTAAATGGCACATCTTCGTTGAACATAGAATCTGTTTAGTTTACCAGAGTGGAGTGGGCTGCAAGATAAAGTCAGCTTTTACAAAATGATAGGGAAATTAAACATTTCATTACATCTCAGACTACTACTAGGATGTAAAGTCAATTTTATTCTCACGTGTGGATATCTGTCATCTGATAGCAGATCTTTGTGAAAGCGTTTGAATTTTCAGGTGTATTTCTAGGAAACCTGATGGCAACACTGTTCTAGTTTTTGCATTTGACATATTAATGTTCAACAAATGATGTTTTTTATGGATAGATCATTGCACTTGCCCTCAGCCCTATCCATGTGACCACAGTGGGCATTTGGGCATGCTAGGGGCCTAGCTTAGAGGCAGTAAGCCTACTTTGTGCTGACCATTGAACTCTGACTTTGTTGATGCCCGTCACAGTCAAAAGTGTTGCCAGAAAGAACCAGAGGAAGCTAACTGACCTGTTTTTGACTGCAGTCTATTGTGGTTTTTGTTCAAATATAATGTGTTGCTCAACATTTGCTGGAGTCAGATCAGACACGATCTATGTTCCACCTCTGACGTGGTCAAATACCATGTGTGAAACTGAGTCCAGTTTCCTTATCTTGTATTTGGTTACCACTCATCTGCATAAGTGAGTAGGAAATCACGTGACATCTCTGTGCTTTCTGAGAAGGGCTTGTGGGTTCCTGTTCGGATACATGAGCAGTGCGGGGCTGAGTTCCTCCAACTGCTCCCATCAGCCTGTGAGATCTGGCTTCAAAAAAGCGCCGTGATGTCAGGCACGCAAGCGTCACTGTTGGGAGATCATGTTTGGTGGGGCTAGAGCATGCTGAAGCAGGGCCTCACCCTCTGGGAATATTTAGCTAACCAATTTTGACGTGGAATCATTCAGAGTTCAGACGAGGCTTAACCAAGTCCACAGCTGCACTGTAAAGTCATGTCTGAGGAGACGCACGCTTTTTAGTTAGAGCTTCAGAAGCTTTGGCTTGGTTTGTTCCTTCAGTTGAGCTTCGATCTCATTAGGGATTCTGAAAACACCCAACTACATCATGGCTAAGTAAACAATGAAAAGTGATGTGCGTACTATACTGTTATATACATTTTCCATTCAAATGGTAATTTGGGGACATTTGCACTAACAACTTTTCCGAAGAAGTACCTGATAACATTAGTTGCGGTTTGTGATTGTTTTTCTCTAATTTGACCTTTGACACTTTGTCAGTGCTAGCATCATCACCTCCTGTTCTGACAGATTCAAAAGTGAACAGAGAGTTCTCATGGCTGTGGATTAAAGCAGACCCAGTTCATACAGTGTGAACTTGCGTTTCACTTTTTTTTCTCACAGCTGAGTGGTGCAAAATGCCCTCATTATCAGGAGCTGCTGGCAAAATGTGCAGAGCTGAAATTCTCTGCAGTGCAGCTCATACAGCTCATCAAGAGCAACAACACATTTTAGCAGCATCATTTTAGAACATAATTTAGTATTTAATCACTACTTGTCTTGCTATTACCATAAATGCAGGTGTTCTCTGTAATATGTAGCTCATTTGTGACAGATAGTGGCATTATTAGAATTCACATGAGAGTCGTCTGTTTATTCAATTATGAATTTTTATGCAAAGTTTTTGTTCAATTGAATCAAATTAACTAAAATTCTTGGATATCAGTATAGCTTACACATGATTGGTGGTTTCTTGAACAGGTCACTGTAGCCGACCAATCAGAAGAGACCAGGCTTTTCCAGACAGGACGGTCTCCATCATGTATTATTTCTATTTTTATTTATTTATTTGCCTAAAAGAGACAGAAAAAATAACATTAACCAATAGAACTAAGTTTTTTTGGGGATGATGGTACAGATTCAGTATTTTGACATGTTCTGTGGTGTAGACAACTGTTTAAAACAGTCTGGATTAGTATTTTCTTTTATTATTATTATTATTAGTTTATGATCTATATTATTTTCTCTCTGTGTGGTAAGGCTTGTGTTTAAAATCTCAGGCAATAAATAGTTGAATAAAGACTACAAAGTTAGATTTTTTTAAAGAGCAAGTCACCCCCTACCAGAGTATTACTCCACTCCCACTTCCTGCAACAAATTCACGTCAAATGTAACAAATGTTGTTGCCTAGCAGACCGAGAGGGCGGAGCTGCTAACAAACACACACACACACACACACACACACACACACACACACACACACACACACACACACAGGCCTACAACGACATTGTGACATCATATGGTATCAGCTAACGTTCTAGGGTACCTCATAGCCAATAGCGATGGCAGATTTAAATTCAAATGCAGTGCAGAGTTTTTACCTGACAACGGCACAACACTGACAGTTTTAGGCAGAAAATGTAAATTTTAACTAAAATGCACTAAAGTGCTAAACTATTGACTACACATGTCTGCAGCATGATTAGACACACATTTATATAGTTTATCAGAAGAAGAAGAAGAAATGGATTTGGGGGTGACTTGCTCTTTAAAGCATGTATTAACTCACATCTACCCACCCTTTGATGAAAACACAAAATGTGTGGTGCAAATCTACTGAATTGTGCAAAAGTCCTGAGTCATCCCTCATTTCTTTAGTTTTGCTTTTATGATCCAGACTTTCTTATTTATTATAAGCTCTTTCAAAACTTTTCTGTGGACTTTTACTGCTTTATAACTTATTTGTGTTGACTTTGTGTACCACAACATTTTCAGGAGAAAGTAGCTTCAGACTACAGCATTTGGAGTCTTATTTCTAGATATTTAGACATCTAGCCTCTGGTTGGCTAACAGCAACACGACTACAACTGACTCCATGTGCTCTGCAACGTTTATGTTTTATCTCCACAAATAACTCAAGCCTGAAGGAGTTCTGCTATGTGGTGGAGTTGCTAATGCTTACTAGCCAAGGCATGCGCTACTGTTTCCCGGACGTTAAACCAACAACAGCCTTGAGTCAAGATGGATAAGGTCTTTTGACAAATACACAAATTGATCTTTTTGAAAGATGATATCAGAGGATTTTAGCATATGATTAACTAGGGCTGGGCGAAATATCAATATTTTTAAAATATCGATATAATTTTTAACCAAGATACAAGAAGACTTTATATCTTTATATCGATATAACTGGTCAAACTGCTATGCTAGAGATTAGCCGCTATGCTAGCGACATGTTGCTCCGTCTCTAAGCAGTTATTACATGCATTCTCACAAGTTTGCTCAATCTGAGAGCCTCTGGGTAAATGTGTTGCTCTAAATTTTGCATTTGGCATCCTGTTTTTTAATTATTTGGGCACGTTGAATGCCAACGGAGTTCTGTTTTTCCATCCTACTTGTGCAGAGCCGGAGAGACGAGTCAAATCCCTCCCTCCCCTGTGTAATTGGGAAACATCTACGGATAGCCGGAGTCGCCAAATGACCTCAAAAGTATTGTGTGGGTGTAATGATAATAGAGGGTAAATTGGGTTAAGTAAATAGCTTGAAAAGCTATTTATATTGTTACCACTACTTGTGACCAATAAGTGGTGATACTCTATTTAACGAGAATGCCTCCTGCGTGGTCTTATTGGTTTAGTCAGAAGATTCTATGATTCTTTTATTCATTACGGGATCGAACACACTTCGCTTTGATTCAAGAAACAGTCAGGTTTATAAACAAAGTAAGAATTTATTTACAAACACTTAAGACTTGACACATTGTTTAAACTATTATTTACTGTGAGTGGATGTGAACTAAAGGATAGTCTGGAACCTGTGTGTGAATATAATGTATTCAGAATCTCCGTGCTCAGAGCTGAGTTCTGGATATAAAATAATTTGGTTTGCATTAAGCTATAAGTTGTTATTATCAAAACCACATGCAGACGCTATCTCACTGTGCTCTGCCTCACCCGTTTGGTGACCCCGTTTGGATCCGAGATGTCCAGGAGCTGACTACCCCACTGCACCTGGTTCGTAGAGAAACCTCGATGCGACCAAATCAGTCCTCAGATGTCTCCGGGTCACAACGATAGATGAAACCGAGCGTCTTAAAAATAACTCTGAAGGGGTTTTGAGTCAGCTTTGTTCTGCAGGAAAACTATCTTGTTGTTCTCAGCTTCGCAGGTGCGAAAAAGGTTTAAGGTTTTGACAATGTGTCAAAATCCTTGGTTAACTCATTCACTGCCAGCCGTTTCCTGATCACTAACGGCCTTCGCTGCCAGCGTTTCTCACCGTTTTACAGTTTTTTTTAAGAGTCACAGAACGTTGCGCGCTAGCATGATGTCGATGCCAAAACAACCAAAACAAAGAGGAGACTCGCCTCTTACATCAGGAAGAAGCCGCGTGTTTCGAGCGTTATCCGTTCTTTCATAATCCGTTGTCGAAATGTGATCGGCAGATACTTTTCCGGTTCGCGCCTCACTTGTTTTACAGGAACGGCCCAAAACGATCTCCAAACACATGGATGTGTTGCTTCCTGATCATGTGATCTGTGACGTATGCGGATGAAGATCGGCTTCAGGGCTGAGATGTTTGTTCTCTCAGCGCGGGGGCTCGTTCCGATGCTCAAACAGTTAAAAAATGCAAATGACAACTTTAGACGTCATTGGCAGTGAACGGTTGGATCTAAAATGACGACTTTAGTCGTCAATGGCAGTGAATGAGTTAAAGAGGTCTGCTAAAGATTGCCGGTCTAAAGCTTGCTCTCGAACTCTCGAACAGTTGAGCTGTTCGAACTGTTTTGTCTGAAGTTGAACCTCTGTGATGGAGACTCCGAATCTAGGCAAAAGATTACTTATGTGTCATGCATTAACTTAACTTTACTCTGAGTGCAAATGTTATGACCTCGTCAAGTAAACATACTAATCATATAACAAAAGTTCATTCAATGATTATTTTTAATTATAGAATCTTCTTTTCTTCTTCCATCCGGGAATAACAGAGTTTATTTAAGAGAGATCCTCTGTGATGGACCTTGGAGGAGAAAATTGTTATTGTTTATCATTTATTATCTCTGCAGTGCAGCTGGTGTGAGGAAGCAGGCTCTGATTAAAGGCACTGCATGCAGACTTTGAGTCTCCAGTTAGGGGAAAGTATACGTAGGATGTTTGATAGCCAGGGTAAGTTGACCTGGCTGTGCATTTGACCTGTGGGATCTCAAAATCAGGCCATTTCATGACGTTACATGGGTTTGAATAGTAAACTATAGGGGTTTATTTTGAAGGCTAGCTCAACAGGTGACAAATGTTGTTCCGGTTCCGTTTTTTTCTGCTCTGGCTTGCTATGCTAGTAAATACTTCGTTACGAGCGATTCTGTTGAAAGAGTTAAGAGTTTGTAAGGTGTGGGTTACTTCGACAGAAGCCCGAAAATAACACTAATAAAAGTGCAACCAGAGACTCTGAGTCATTACAGCTTAATCGCTGATATGAGCCAACACTGTTACACTCCAGCCATGTTTGCCCTGATAACTAATAACTCCACGGTGCATGACCCATGTGATCTTCAGTAGATTCAATTACATCATCATAAATTTAGGATAACATGATAGATTTTTTTTCTCTGGAAAAGAAATAAACGGTATGGCCACCTCTAGATGAAATTTATATAATTTTACATTAATTATAAATATATAATTTAAAAGTGCCTGTGGGACATTTGATACATCTCTAGCTCTCAACTGTGTGTGTGTGTGTGTGTGTGTGTGTGTGTGTGTGTGTGTGTGTGTGTGTGTGTGTGTGTGTGTGTGTGTGTGTGTGTGTGTGTGTGTGTGTGTGTGTGTGTGTGTGTTAACAGAAACCGTTACCAGTGTTTCTAAAGCTCTGGTAGAGAATAGGCACTAAAGTTAAAGTTAGACAAGAATAAAAACATTTTTATGCATTTAATCTACTGATTTATGTATATAATTTCTCAAGACAGCTTGAAGTGAGTTAACTTGTAAATATTTTACAGGAGGAAAAATATTGAGATATATATATATCGTATGTCGGAATTCAGCTAAAAGATATCGAGATACAAGTTTTGGTCCATATCGCCCAGCCCTAGGATTAACTGAAGAGTGATGTTCTCAGGTCTGGTTTTTCACGAATGTGTCTCTTTTCTTAGAAAGGACTTTCAGAAAATGTTCATCTGCTACAAACAGGCTTTTAGACTCCTGCTTTTTCCTTCTTCTCTTCCACTTCCTGTGTTTTCATGACAGACTGTCCTATATGCTCTTATATTTTTGGTGTAAGAACTGGGCAGAACATGAGGGGAAATGCAGCTGAAATCCAAAGAAATATTTGGGAGGACTTTAAAAAAGGATCCAATCAAGCCAGGCTTCTAAGAAGAGTTTAGGAAGTAAAACTTTTTACCAGTACTTGTCTATGTATCCTTGTGTATGTAGATCTGCTCTTTTTGGCTTTTTTATTTGTTTTATTTTTTATGCAGCTTCACTTTTTCCTCTCTTCTGAATGAAACCGTGACATCACAATCACATGGTCTAAATGTACACAGTGTTCTTTCAGTGTGCTGTGTGAAATCATAACGTCTGAGACGAGCACATTTTAGTCCGACTCAGAACTGAGAGGTTTCTGTAGGACTTGCATCTTTTTAGTAGAATCAGCCAGCAGCAGTTGGACTCTAGCGCGTGAGCCCATGTGCTAATGAAAGAGGGGCACAAGCGTCTGTATACAGCAGGTGCTAATGAATGGGGACAGCCAGCCGCACTGCAGCAAGCTGCCCTCTTTAATAATCACTAACTTCCCCTCAAGTCATTTTCCCCTCAAGTAATGGAGGGGTTTTAAAGGGTAAACAACCTGCAGTTAGTGCTACACGTTAAAAAACAGCACTAAACCAACGCAGGGTGACCAAAGCTGAATGTGTGCTTGTGTGTGTGTGTGTGTGTGAGCCACCAGGCTGCTGGTTGAAGCGAGTTATTGTTCACTGGAGTCCTTTCTGAGTTGATGTTTCTGTTTTGGGGAAACGTAACATCGCTCTGATCCAGCTCTAGTTTACCTCTGAGCTCCAGCCTCTTTGGTGTCACTACAGCCAAGTGGAGCTGTGTGTGTGTGGCACAGGGAGTGAGCCTTTTGTCTGAGGCTGAAGGCCAAAGCAGCCCCTCTGTAGTGTTGTTACATAAGTGTACAGAAGAATGTTTCCCTTTTGTTACTCATCGTCCCGAAAGCAAACTCCCTTCTCTGCTCTTTGTTCACAGCAGAGGTTTCCAGAGAATTCTGTGCAGATCGGTGTGTGTAGTTTATTGTAAACAATATTTCACACCCTCTGACTCATTCTTTTTATTGGCTCGTTTTTGGAGTTGAGTTGTTCATGAGGAACAAAACTGCTCAATTACACCCAAAATAAGCTCACCCAGCAGTCACTGGTGTCTTTTCTGTGCCTGCATGTTATTTCCTCTTTTCCTCGAACAGCCCTCGCTGAATAATTTACCCAGAATTACACAAAAGTATACAAGAGAGGATTTTAAAAGCATTTTTAAATGTTTGCAGTCTCGTCAGCTGTAATTCTAAGTCCTTCATTCCCCTTCTTCCCATTCTTTCAACCTTTCCCTGAACTCCAGCCTACAACTTGTTCTCTACTGACCTTTTGACACAACCTGCCTCACATTTCACTCTATAAATCCACCCATCACCACATTCCCAGCCCAGTCCTCTTGGCAGCAACCTGAACGGAAGAGAAGGGGCGTGTGGTCACCTCACAGCAGCAGCTCAAGTGTTTCACCTTCTCTCAGGCCTTGACCATACTAAGAGCCTGCATAAGCTTGTGATGTGTGAGTGTGGTGCCGAGAGATGGTGAAAAAAATAAGCCAAGATGTCCCACAAATGCATTTCTGTATTCTTCCAGCAGAACAAGGGCTTCGTTTGCTCGGGCCACTGAGGAGGAATGGTGGGATTTGGAGGCTGAGCTCCAAACATATTGTGAGGCGTTTGTATTCAGCCAGTCAGGTGCGGTGAAGTGAAATTAACAGTGTTACCCAGGGCACAATAGCTGAGTTGCTGCTGATGTGTTTTTGTGTCAAGGCCCTTCTGCTGAAGCACCAACAGAACGGGATGGGTCTGCTGAAATGTATCAGTAATGTGAAACTGGAGCTCAACTTCAAATCTTTCTGTTCATGTTTTATACTATCCAAACCGTATTATGCTAACTTTTGTTTGTCTGTTGCAGTGGATCTGCTGAGATAGCTTGTCAGAGCCCAGCGATGTGGATCTGCTTGATTCACAATGAGACGGACGCCAGCGTGGACTTCCAGCTCTGCCAGGACTTGGGCCTCATCCTATCAGTCGTCTCCCTCATCTACCTCCTCGTGTGCTTCCCTTTGGGGCTGTGCTACAATGTGCTGCTGGTGGTGGTGAACCTGTCCAACAAGGTGTCCATGACCATGCCAGACGTCTACTTTGTCAACATGGCCATTGCGGGCCTTGTGCTGAATCTGGTGGTGCCGATGGAGCTCCTAGATGCCACGTTCACACGCTGGAACGCATGGGAATACAACGACGAGGTCCACATCACCCTCCTCATCCTTTTCAACATCTCCTCTCTGGTCATCATGTATTCCACCACGCTGCTGAGTCTGGACTACTACATAGAGCGGGCGCTGCCTCGCACATACATGTCCAGCGTGTACAACACAAAACACGTGTGTGGGTTCATTTGGGGCGGCGCGGTGCTGACCAGCTTCTCTTCACTGCTCTTTTATGTGTGCAACCACATCTCCACCAAGATGGTGGAGTGCTCCAAAATGCAGAACAAGGAGGCTGCAGATGCCATCATGATGTTCATTGGTTACGCAGTTCCAGCGGTGGCGGTGCTTTACGCCTTTGTGCTGATTTTACGCATCAGGAAGGAGTCTACACCTCTGGATCAGGATTCGGCTCGCTTGGATCCGTCCATACACCGGCTGCTGCTGGCCTCGGTGTGTGTGCAGTTCGTCCTGTGGACCCCGTACTACATGACCCTTTTGGTGCACACCATCTCTGGCACACCGGGTTATATTAGCATTGCTTATAACATCCCTACGTATAATTTCCTGAAGTGTGTGTCTAAGCTGCTGGCCTTCTCCAGCAGCTTTGCAATGCCTCTCATGTACAGACAGATGAACAAAAACTTCTCCAGCAAGCTCCAGCGGCTGCTCAGAAGGCTGCACTGCAGGGACCGCTCCTGCCCTCATGAACGCTCAACAGTGCAGCAAGTGGTGACGTGAAGTCAGCTGCCCCTCCACCCCTTGGCCCAGCAGCACTTACTTCCCCTCCCAGCCACCCCACCCGCTCAGAGCCAGTGTCAGACCGAGCTTCCTCACCGCTGTGGACCGTGTGAGGAGCGACACGGCTGAGTGGAATTTCCTGTCCCTTTCCAGAACTCTGTCTGATCCATCCTTTCTTTTCCGCAGCAACAGGACAAACCAAGAAAAAAAAAACACAAAGTGCTGCTTTTTTGTCACCGAGTGAAGCTCGTCACCAGGACACTCGGGTTTCTGATTCAGGGCTGCTAAAGTTAGTACAATCATCCAATCGGAGTTCGGCGTTCTCTGAGGGCTTCACTTTCCAACAGTGCAACGGTTTCTCCAGCTAGTCTTCTGGATGTGGGTTTGTTGTATGGGCTGCCTGCAGTTCACCGTTAAGTGTCAAGATGCTGTGATTTAATGTGAAAGCGGGAGCTTCCTCTAACAACCAATACGCTCTAAACCTCTGCTAAAGGTAACCCAAGTCACTTTAGCTCTAAACAAAACCTCTGCATTGATACAAACTAGGTGTGTCCTAACGCGTAACTCTGCAGGTGACTTAACACTTTTGCTGTCTTAAATGTGTTGGCATTCTTACATCAAGTGTTCAAGAAGCGTGCTAATCTGCTAGACCCTTTAAACCACAGCTAGCTTGTAGCAATGCTAGTAGAAAGTTTGTATTCAGGGTTTTAACCATAACCGGTATACCTCTTAGTCTCTACTGTAATCAGATTACCTGTTAATCTCCGGCAGTTCGGATCGGCTCGTTAACCTGAGCAGACAGCCCAACCTCGGCTAAGCCGGGACACCATGTACACCCTCTGGGTTTTAGACCTGTTCTCTGGCTCCAGCTCACCAGTTTGGTTTATTAACACAACAAATCCACGCTGCTTCGGTGCCAGACCTCTTCTAGTATTAGCAGTTCCTTATTGCACAGTGTTTGCTGCAATACAACATTCTGGTTTTTACTTGCTTTTAACCAAACATGGCCAGTTTTCCTGTGCACCATCCTGTGAGCAGATGCATCATCCAAATGGGGCATTTGCTGTAAAAACCTCTGAAGAGTTTCCACTGGCTTGCCTTTTACCGTGAACTTTAAATGACAGTGACTTGATGTATCTTTCATGATTGAGATTCGTGCTTCTCATATTTGAATCCCGTATATTTGAAAGCACCACACCTACAGTTGCTGAGTAAATCGGTTTGGACATTTAATTTTTGCAGCATGACACCATGGCGCCTGCTGTCAGGCTGTGAGAAAACTCTCAGTTTAGACTGTTTACATTTGGAGCTGCAGTTTGTGTTGGCCTGTAGAAATAACGCACCGTTTATCACTATTCCAGCTCCGTAAAATTCTTACAGTATGGTCCGAAATGGGAAACTAGTGAGCACTTGTGTGAAAATCAGAGGGCAACTTGTTCAAATGGTATTTATCAAATCCAAACGTGACCCTCAGCATGTGCTGCGCTGATACTGGAACAGTTCAGAACTCCAGAATTAGTCTTGGATCAGAACTGCACGAGGGAAACAACAATCAAGGTCACAATTTTTGCAGGAGCAATTGTTAAACTGCAAGACGCTGCTGCAAAACCACCTTTTCCTAAACCTTTTCTGGAGATGACATGTTTCAGCTGAGTTTTCTAATAACACATGGAGGGTGTGACTTTTAAAACACCCAAGATCTGATCAGGTTCTTTCCACCATCACCAAAATGTCATTAGTGTGATTTGGAAGCTATCTTGCAAATCCAACTGTCAAGATCAATAATTAGCAATTAGCAAATGGACGGTGCATGATGGATGAGAAGTGGAAAATAAAGCTAGCGAACACCTCTGAAATCACGCCCAACGACAACGTCTGCTCCGGTCTGAGAGCAGTTTATTATTTCAGAGGGGTGCTTCCATCTCACACCAGAAATCACAAGCACCCACTTCACTTAGTGGTTAAAACAGACACGTGAGCTCACCCACAAAGCGTGTGTGTGTGTGTGTGTGTGATGTATGTTAGGTATTTGGAGAGCAAAACCTCAGCTGTTTCCTTGGGCTCTTTCAATAATAATACCCTTATTTGACTGTGTGAATAATGTAAATGTATAAATGTGTGTAAATGTTGAAAGATACCATGCTTTATCGAAATCACAGTATTATTTTCTCAGAGATATATTTAGATTCTGTAAGCACTCTTACTGTTAGCTGAGTCAAAGACTGATTAAACAATAAACTAACATGACTCGATCGTATTTTCTTCTTTGACACCCAACGGACCCTTCTGCTAGCTAACCTGGAGCTCGCAGGTCGTTTCCATCCTCTGAGATGCGGCTGCAACATCAGTGCCACTGTTGACGGAAGGGCCCTTTAACCACAGACAGGAAAATACCAGCATTCCTCACATTCTGGGACTGGTTTCGTCCTCTGTGGGCATGACCGTCCCAAACTGCTGCCATTCTCAGCGACAAAAACAACGTGTTGGTGACATCACAAGGTTGTAACGGGATGTGCAGGATTCAGATGATGACGTTCCAATCGGTTACATGCGAAGTGTATGAGATTGAGATAATAGGGAAGGAGGTGAAACGGCCTGTTACTTACCATGATTCAGCTCCTCTCTCTTAGGGGCCATAACATGACTCAGTAAAAAGAAATATGTTTCTCCCCTCTTGGGACTGGAGTCTCACAAATGATAAATGTCTTGTTAGCACTTTATTTTTGAGGTGGATTGATGGTAAAGTAATGACAAATGATTTAATTTATTTTTTCTATCATTGAGTCATAAAAAAGTAACTATTACTTATTTTTGGAGTATCACAGATTTTAGTTTTAGGGCTGATGCTGAGTATGTTCTAGTAATAGTCAGCTAATAAAAGGTGAATGATGCTTGGTAACTTATTCACTTACCAAGATAAACAATGGCCAGCCTGTTTGAGCTGATCTAGCTGAATATTTAAATATTTCTGTGAATCTTAGTTTTCATGCAACTCCTTTCTAAATAAGTGTCTTATTTTTCCTCACGTTGTAAAAAACTTCTCGAGCTCTGCTGCAGAAATGAAATAGTACTGAAAAATCGCATCATTCATGTTTTTTTTAATTATTATTTCCTTTTCTCAGAGAATTCAGCCAGAACTACGGGTCAACTTTAGCCTTAAACAGCTTCAGACCACCAAAGAAGACAGAACACTCAGCTTCATGTGTTTTGTTTGGCTGTCATGCACCTTTCACACAAAACCTCAGACCCATGCTGTATTCCTCCCTCCCAACAGGAAAAATCAGACTGAAGTTAAAGGACAAGACGGAGCAGGGTATGCTTAGATTTTGGATAAAGTGGGAAAAAAGAATTCAGGAATGTATTCAGAGCAGAAAAGATAAGAGCGCACTGTAAATGAGCATGTGGATCTGAAAGTACAGATAAAGATGTTCATAGTCTAGACTGGAGCAGCAACCACCCTCCAAACATCTCTCAGTGGAGCTTCGTCTCCACACAGAACAAGCTGAAATAATCAACCGGTAAATTTGTTCTAAGTGTGTGTTCTCCGTGTTGTGAAGCAAATCTGTGTTATTTTAGAAAAAGATCAAACATTCTCTGGAGATCAGAATCTGCTCAGATAATGAGCGTAATTAGCCGGTCCGTGAACTCACCATTACCTCAAACACTCCAACATCTGAGCCAGTCTCCACCAGGAAGCACCGTCATGCTATCAGATCTGTTTCTCCATACGTTCACGGATATTACTGCTGGAAGCATTTCTGATACATGAAGACAGCTTCTGTTTTAGGGAGTAAATAAACATCCAAATGATGAAGCATGTGTGTTTTTAAAGAGGTCACTACATTGGGTTAACACTGGTCCTGGTCCTACGCTGAAAACCTTCCACTGGTGAATGAAACTAAATCTCTCAGAGCAGAGTGTTCATCTTTGACCCTCCACGTCTCTCCATCTCATGGGAAAACCAGTGGACCAGGGCAGATGTTGGGAAAACAGCCCGCCCTTCCTCTGTTGACAACAGCGTTTGTTCCTTTTCTGTAGAATCAAGAGCTGAAAAAAAAGATGAGGCTGACAATAAAATCCCAGCATCAGCTAAATATCAAACGCGGCCCTGGAAGCAGTGCAGCGGAGCCGGACTTGGCAGGAAGTTTGCTTCTGAGTTTGTGGTCGAGATGCTGGATAGAGCCAGAACACCAGACTGGTAAGTGGAGGCAGATGACGGTGTTCCTACCCACCCTCCTCTAGACCTCCCACTTTCTGGTGTGATTTTGGCGTTAATCCTACACCTTAAAATAAGAAACAATCCCTTATTTCACCAGATCCTCCCAAATACATCAGCCATTACTCTGAATGTTGATGGTCTCCTGAGCCAGTGACATCACAGCACACGTTCTTTGTCCAGAAGGAACTTACGCTTTATACCAGCGGGCCACCTTGTGGACACAAACCGGAAACGCAGCTGCCATGCACATTTATGATCCGGAAGTAGGATTATGGTGTGCTTTTAATATTATTTATCCTCCTTGTAGGAGACACCGAGCTATAAAACATGCAAATAATTGTTGTTGCAGTGAATGTCAGTTTTAAGAGGTTAGTGCAGACACTTCACAGCAGATCCATGCTTCATACTGTTAGATTTACCTCCAACTGAAAAAAAAACCCAAATCTCATCAATTTTGAGCAAATAAGTGTAACGGGTTAGCATTCCTGTGACTGAAGGGTGCGTTCCTTTGTAGTAAACAGAAATGTTTTCTTTCATTTCTTTCTCTCCTGCCTCCGCGTTGACACCTTTCCACTTGAACGATTGCTACATTCCTAGCTGCTGTTCACGTAGCCTCCGACATTTTATTCTGTTCATTTTCCACCTCAGCTACTAAGACACTGAAAAACCTTATTTTTTTACAGGCTGAGTCTGGTTTCTGTTGTCCTCCTCCTGTTGTCAAAAACTCAAACTTGTTTATGTTAGCAGAGTCTCTGTTGCACCGACAGTGCATGTCTGCCCTGACTACAACATCAGCTTCTCTGAGACAGGTGCTGTCTGCACACGCACACACACGCACACACACACGCACACGCACACACACACACACACACACACACACACACACACGCATGCACACACGCATCTAGACGAGTGCTACTGGAAACAGCCACCTTAGTGCCTGAGGAATGAAACAGTTACACATTCAGGTTTTTCTTGATCAGAGGAAGTGAAAACATCCTCCTGGTTGGCAGCATGTTAACCAGCTTGAGAGCAGGGTGAGAGGGAGTGCTCACCTCTCGTATCTCTTGCAGAAAATGGCCCCTGAGGATGGTCTGACCCTGGTGACCCTCTTAGCCATTGTCACGAAGGGCTGCCGAATGGTTCTCAGTAACACTGCCGCTTCCAAACCAAGTGATGCAGCTTGTCTGAATGATTTCAGCAGACCTTCAGTAAAATGTGGTGAAAATGTGATATAAGGATGGCCATTTATAAATCTTGGGAGTTTGTTCTAACCCTCAAACCTCCAGGTGATATTTAAAGCCTGGCCTTGACTTCTCTCCCATGCTGTCCTTGACTGAAGCATTCATGGGCAGATGTGGCCTGCAGGCCAGAGGAGGCGTCACCAAAAGAACTAACAACAGCTTTTTATAACAAATCTTGAAGCAGGTGAAAACAATATTTATTCTGCTTCTTATGCTTTAGACTAAAGCCGGGCGTACACTGTGCGACTTTTTCACTTTTTTGAGCCGATTTTCCATTTGTGCGAGAATCCACGACATCGGGGCGAGTTTTGCGCCGAGCAGTCGTGTAGTGTACAGGGGGTTACGAGAGGCGATTAACACCACGTGACCAATTCAATTCAAGTTTATTTATATAGCGCCAAATCACGACAAGAGTCGTCTCAAGGCACTTCACATAATAAACATTCCAATTCACAGTTCATTAAGCCAATCAGAAATAATGTTTCCTATATAAGGAACCCAGCAAATTGCATCAAGTCACTGACTAGTGTCAGTGACTATACAGCAATCCTCATACTAAGCAAGCATGCAGCGACAGTGGAGAGGAAAACTCCCTTTTAACAGGAAGAAACCTCCAGAGAATCCTGGCTCAGTATAAGCAGCCATCCTCCACGACTCACTGGGGATGGAGAAGACAGAGCAGGCACGCACACACACACACACACACACACACACACACACACACACACACACACACACACACACACACACACACACACACACACACACACGCACAGACACACACACACAAGTAATGTGTCTGTAGTTATATTGTGATGTCTTAGTAAATATTGTATTTGGTGAAAGATAAACTTTATTGTATTTATCCTAGTGGATCTATAATTAAACGGATAAACTAGTAGTAGCACATCAAAAGTCAATGAAAACAAAAAGTTATTATCAGGAGAGGGAGAATGTTTTAGTGGTTAGCAGCAGTGTGCTAGACGATGGCCCCTCCATGAGGCCACCACAGCTCAGCAGAACATCATCGCAGCTTCTTCTGGGGAGAAAAACATTTACAGAGAAAATAAAGTTAACAGCTGAAATTGCACAAAATAGTACAGTTAAAGAGCAGACTGTAGAAGAAAGCAGTAGAGTGTGAAAAGTGGTCAGTGTGTCCTCCAGCAGTCTACGCCTATAGCAGCATAACTACAGAGATAACTCTGGATAATCTATCCTATTTAGATGGAGGCATGTTGGAGTCAGGGCAAGGGAGAGCCGTCTTTACCGACTGTACACTCCACCTCTCTGTAATCCCCCACTTGTCCAGATTTAGGCTAACATCAGATTTTAACCATAGGCCCTATCAAATAAAAATGTTTTAAGCCTAGTCTTAAAAGTAGACAAAGTGTCTGCCTCACGGACTAAAGCTGGGAGCTGGTTCCACAGGAGAGGAGCCTGATAACTAAAAGATCTGCCTCCCATCCTAAGTTTAGATATTCTTGGAACCACCAGTAGACCTGCAGTCTGAGAGCGAAGTGCTCGGTTAGGAACATATGGAACAATCAGATTACTGATGTATGATGGACCTTGATTATTAAGAGCTTTATATGTGAGAAGAAGGATCTTAAAACCTATTCTGAATTTAACAGGTAGCCAATGTAGGGAAGCTAAGACAGGAGAGATATGATCTCTCTTTTTAATTCTCATCAGAACTCTAGCTGCAGCATTTTGGACAAGCTGAAGACTTTTAACTACATTCTGTGGACTTCCTGAGAGTAATGAATTACAGTAATCCAGTGTTGATGTAATAAATGCATGAACTAGTTTTTCAGCATCACTCCTGGAAAGTATGCTTCTAATCTTAGCAATATTCCGAAGGTGGAAAAAGGAAATCCGACAAACTTGTGAAACCTGGGATTTGAATGACATGTCCTGGTCAAAGATAACACCAAGGTTCCTTACTTTGTTCTCGGAGATTAATGTAATGCCATTAAGGTCAGGCGATTGGCTAAGCAATTTCCTTTTCTGGATTTCTGGTCCAAAGATGAGAACTTCCGTCTTGTCTTGATTTAAAAGCAAAAAGTTTAGAGTCATCCAATTTTTTATGTCCTCAAGACAAGCCTGTAATCTAGCTAGCTGATTAGGTTCATCAGGGTTAATGGATAAATATAACTGAGTATCGTCAGCATAACAGTGGAAGTTTATCCCATGCTGTCTAATGATTTTACCAATTAGGAGCATATACATAGTAAAAAGAATTGGTCCAAGCACTGAACCCTGTGGTACTCCGCAAGTAACCCTGGAGTATGAAGAAGATTTGTCATGTACATTTACAAAATGAAATCTATCAGATAGGTAGGATTTAAACCAGCCTAACGCTGTTTCTTTGATCCCTACAACATGTTCAAGTCTTTCTAAAAGAACATTGTGATCTACTGTGTCAAAAGCAGCACTGAGATCTTACAAGACTAGAACAGACACAAGATTCTTATCTGAGGCCATGAGAATATCATTTGTAACTCTCACTAATGCAGTTTCAGTGCTGTGATACTCTCTAAAACCAGACTGAAATTCCTCAAACAGAGCATTAGTGTTTAAATGCTGACATACTTGGATGGCCACTATTTTCTCCAGGACTTTGGATAAAAATGGAAGGTTTGAAATTGGTCTACATTTCATTGGGTCATCTGGATCCAGAGAAGGCTTCTTAAGTGAAGGTTTGATTACAGCAACCTTAAAATCTTGTGGTACATACCCATTTACTAAGGATAGATTGATTATATCTAGAATGGGGGCAGTAACCAAAGGAAATGCATCTTTAAATAATTTGGTTGGGATTGGATCCAAAATGCAAGTTGAAGGTTTAGATGAAGCTAATATTTTTGATAACTCTGAAAGCTCAACTGGATCAAAACGGTTCAAGCACAGATGAGGTTCTAGAGTTACCTCTGAAGCTGCCTCACTTACTGAGGAAGAAGAAATCGCATTAGGGAGGATGCTAAAGATTTTGTTTCTAATAGAATTAATTTTACTTGTAAAAAATCTCATGAAGTCATTGCTGCTGAGGGCTAAGAGATACGATTCTGTGTAAGTTTAGCAACTGTACTGAAAAGAAATTTAGGATTATGCTTATTCTCCTCAATTAATGCTGAAAAATAAGCAGTCCTAGTTTGTCGAAGCTTATTTTTATAAAGCAAAAGACTATTTTTCCAGGACAGGTAGGCCTCCTCATGGTGCGTAGAGCGCCATGTTCTCTCCAATTTCCTAGAGTTTTGTTTTAAGGCTCGTAGATGAGAGTTAAACCAGGGAGCCAACTTCCTGTCCCTAATTACCTTCTTTTTTAAAGGGGCAACATCATCTAATGCCACACGTAAAGAGGAATTCACATGATGACCAGCTGCCGATCAGCAGTCGTGAGGTCGCACGGACTTATGGCGTGTTTAAAATTTTGCTCGTCCCTCGTGAGGGTATCGCACTGTTGAAGCGGCGCAGCGAGCAGCTGCGACCCAAAATGTACCAGAACCGCTCACGGCGCATGCGCAATCCTGCATCAACACCGCTCCCCGCTATTTCCCTAATAACACACATTGTTCGTTTTTATTTCTACATGTTTTTTTTACTCACAAAGATTGTCAATAAAGCGTGTTTGTCGTGTTCATGTCAAATTAAACTGATCACAAAACACAGATTTACTTTCTTTATTTCGTTCATCCAACCCCCATAAATCCCTGTGTGTCCTCCTGCAGCACTCCCGAAGGACAACAGGCAAAACAAGACAAAAAAGTCTGGCGTGTTGAGTAAAAACTGCTATTTTTAGCATATTTTTAGGGACGACGTGTTGCTACCAGACGTACAGTGTGAGCAGTCAGGTCGCATGCGAGAACTGTGTCGTGCAGTGTGAGCGCATGACTCGTGAGATCTGCCCTGCGAGGAAGTCGTACAGTTTGAGCTGAAGCTGAGTGCTACGAGTGAAAAAGTCGCACAGTGTCCGCCCGGCTTAAAATGTTAATCTTTCACTTTCTGGGTTTGGCCATAGTGCCACATAGTCACAAACAAGCCACCATTAAAATAAGACGGTGGAGTAGAAGCCCTGCCTGTGACTCCCAGCTCATCTGGATGTGCTACTGCTAGTTTACCCGTTTAACTATAGATTCACTAGGATAAATATGATAAAGTTTATCTCTCGCCAAATAGAATATTTACTAAGCAATCACAATGTAACCATAGACACATTGCTTGGGGTTGTGTGTGTGTGTGTGCGTGTGTGTGCGTGTGTGTGTGTGTGTGTGTGTGTGTGTGTGTGTGTGTGTGTGTGTGTGTGTGTGTGTGTGTGTGTGTGTGTGTGTGTGTGTGTGTGTGTGTGTGTGTGTGTGTGTGTGTGTGTGTGTGTGTGTGTGTGTGTGTGTGTGTGTGTGTGTGTCTCTACTCTGTCTTCTCGATCCCCAGTGAGTCGTGGAGGATGGCTGCTTATACTGAGCCAGGATCCTCTGGAGGTTTCTTCCTGTTAAAAGGGAGTTTTCCTCTCCACTGTCGCTGCATGCCTGCTTAGTATGAGGATTGCTGTAAAGTCACTGACACTAGTCAGTGACTTGATGCAATTTGCTGGGTTCCTTACATAGGAAACTTTCTACTGATTGGCTTAATGAACTGACCTGTATTGGGATGTTTATTATGTGAAGTGCCTTGAGACGACTCGTCGTGGTTTGGCGCTATATAAATAAAATTGAATTGAATCTGCAGCACCAAGCTGAGTATTTCATATACAAAGCCATCAGAAGCAAACAAAAGAGTAAAAACTAACCAGGCACTATGTTCTTGTACAACCTAAACCAACCAAAGCCTGCTGCTGGAAAAACTAATTTCCCAGAGGAACCTCCCGGAGGGATTAATAAAGTTCTATCAATCAATCAATTAATCAATCAATCAAGTCTCCTCCTCTGCCGGTCAGCTCACGGGTCTGCTGACCCAAAAGAAAAATGAATGTAAGTGAACGAGGTGGTGTTACTTTCTGGTTTGCTTACGCCCCGAATCACATATATGCTCTACTTCAATTTAAATGATAAATAATTATGTGTCTTTCGACTACATCCGTCACATACTCTGAGATTTATTTGCTTGTAAAAAAGCTGTAATTGAATAGATTATAAATTACAAGCTGCACATATGACATCAGCGCAGAATCTCCTCCCCCCTCAGCGGAGCTCTCACACGTCCAGATTTATAGTGGTTTTCTCCACGTTTGATGCTCCTTCTTTCATCCTGGAAGGATTGGAAGCTTGCTAAACTCACAGCCGTTTCTCCTCTCCCGGTGTTGTTTGATGATGTAAATGTTGTGAGAAGAACATTTGTAGTTCTTTATGTCTTTTCACACAAAACCTAAAGTAACTTTAGCCACTATTGAAAAAAAAAGCCCTTTCTTGGCATCAGAATGTGTCTTTGATTTCATGGACATCCTATGTTAAATCCATGACACACATCAAACGGGTTAGGAATTAGACCCCCATTCATTTTTTGGCTATAGTGGACTGGAAATAAGAAGAAAAGTGAATGCAAGTCAATGAGGCTAAAGCTATTTTCTAAAAATTCTTTAATTATACTTTAAAATATTTCCCTCAGGAGACACAATCTCTGTTTTAGTAGATACCTACTGTACGCCTGCAACCCCTTCTCCCAGCCACTCTTCATCCATCCCAGCTGTTATGTGCCAATGCCATGTCAAATGGGTTTCCATGGTCACAATAACATAGTTAAAATGATGATGGCGTTGGTCCTGGCCCAGGAGCAAAGAGCCTGCTCTGTTTTCATCTTATTGACAGTGAAGGCTAACAGATTTGGCTTTACCTAGATTAAATTACATTGGTGATTAAAAATTTAAAAGTGTGTTTACAGTTTTTTTTTGGACCAATATGCTGGATTCATTATGCTTAAATACGACAGCAAAAACACGTTCACGAGGCATATGTTTACAGGGCCCTTAACACTGAAAGCTGGAAAACCCAGTAGATCAAATAGTGTGAAAAGAAGTTGTTTCCATGGCAACACAGCCTCAGCAAGGCTAACTCCCCTTGTGCACTTGTTTATCGTTCAGACTTTGTGTTGTTATGGTTGTGATCAGCACTCACCAAGTTGGGCTTGGATCTAAATCACAAATATCTGAAATAAACAGTTAAAAGAGCAACAGACTGTTTGGAAACACGGATGTCTGACCATCCCTTGCCTCTCTGCCCCCCCCCCCCCCCCCCCCCCCCCCCACCCACCCTCTTGTTATCCAGGGACAGGGATGGGCCAAACAGTAGGTGGTGCCGTGAAGAAGTCTGCACATTTGATTTACACATCTCCGGGTTTCAAAGTCTGTACTGGACACACGTGGAGGAGCAATAAATTCCAAATTCAAAGTAAGTAGAGCTGTTGATGAACACATCTTTAGATTTACTTGTGAATTCTGGTAGGCTGAATAATCAAACTAAAGTTTCAGACCTGAGAAATTCCCTTTTCACAGATTTTTCTGGAAATATGTAAATAGCGTTCTAATAATAGATGTTTGACTGTGATTATTCGTTTTCTTACCTCAGGGAATTTTTCATTGTTTGGACTAGAATAAAAAAACAGAAAATAAGTATTTTGCATAAAACTATGAAGCTTTCTATCAACAATCCAACATATCATTGAATAAAAGTATTTGACATTGACATTACCTAGTCTATGTGTGCATTTGTGTAAGGTTCAGGGCATGACTTACTGCCGAGAGGACTTTTATTGAGAAAACATGAATGTTTCAGTTTGTTGTTGAACATTTAATCCAGAAGTAATTTCATAAAGCGCGTGTTTACCAAACGGACGATGGTTTTACGGGAAGAGACTTTCGGGCCTGGAAATTATTTAGGCTGTTTTGAATAAAAACCACAGATTCTGTGCTACATACTTTAAAAAGCAACATGTGTGATGCCATCACACATGGAGGATTATTAAGATTAATGGCGTTTTTATTTCACTACTTAATAGTCATCAGGTCTGGACAAACTGGTTAGAGGAGGCTTGTGGATTTTGAAAACGGGATTTCAATGCATCTGTTTAAGTGTGAAACATGAATGTTAATGTGCTCACGTGGCCACTTAAAGCTGTCATCTGGTTTATTTTAGATGTTAAAAAACTTTTTCTGTGATCAGTTCTGTGGTTTGTGTCGTAAAACAACCGCCACACGCTGCTTTCTCGCACATTTTTCATTGTTAATATATTTCTTGTAGTGATTTTTTCCCCGTGTACTCCACAGCTCAGGTGTCAGAGCAGCAACATCTCCCTCCAGGGCTCGCCGAATAAAGATCCTCACGTACTCGTGGAGATAAACCAGCACTCCAGTCAGAAGACTGAAGAAAGAACTGAACCTCAGACTGAAGAGTCAGAAATGTGTGGCTCTTCAAAGGCAGAGGCCTGAGCCTTCTTAAGTCATGGGAGTTGTGTTTTGCAGTAGCAGCTTACTGGCAGATGAAACCTGATGGAGTCAAACATCCAATGAAAGCTTACCTCCACTCACCTGACGTCCGTCAGCATGTCAATACAGTATGGAAGGGCAGTCAACTGCTTTGGTCTGGATACTTAACAGGACAGCAGAAGAGCTGAACACCTCACTCAAATACAACCTCTCCGGTTTAAGCGAAAACTCTGAAAAGCACCAGTCTTACATCATCGGCCTCTTCTTGTCCTGCTTGTACACCATCCTCCTTTTCCCCATTGGATTTATCGGGAACATCCTGATCCTGGTGGTAAACCTGAACCACAGAGAGAAGATGACCATCCCAGATCTCTACTTTGTTAACTTGGCAGTCGCGGACCTCATCCTGGTGGCAGATTCCCTCATCGAGGTGTTCAACCTGAGCGAGAAGTACTACGACTACGCTGTCCTGTGCACCTTCATGTCCCTCTTCCTGCAGATCAACATGTACAGCAGCATCTTCTTCCTCACGTGGATGAGCTTTGATAGATACGTAGCCTTAGCTAGCTCCATGAGCAGCAGCCCACTGAGGACTATGCAGCACGCCAAGGTGAGCTGTGGCCTGATCTGGATGGCCTCCATCCTGGCCACCCTGTTCCCCTTCACCATCGTACAGACTCAGCACAGGGGTGAGGTTCACTTCTGCTTTGCAAATGTCTTTGAGATCCAGTGGCTGGAGGTGACCATTGGATTTTTGGTGCCCTTCTCCATCATTGGTCTGTGCTACTCTCTGATTGTCCGAATCCTCATGAAAGCCCAGAAGCATCGTGGCTTGTGGCCGAGGCGGCAGAAAGCCTTGCGCATGATCGTTGTGGTTGTTTTGGTGTTCTTCATCTGCTGGCTGCCGGAGAACGTCTTCATTAGCATCCAGCTGCTGCAGGGAGCAGCGAACCCATCCCGGAAGACTGCTAGTGCCCTGTGGCATGACTATCCCCTCACAGGCCACATTGTTAATCTGGCAGCCTTCTCCAACAGCTGCCTGAACCCCATCATCTACAGCTTTCTAGGGGAAACCTTTCGGGACAAGCTGAGACTCTTTGCAAAGCAGAAGGCCAGCTGGTCTGTGGTAAACCGCTTCTGCCACCACGGCCTTGATTTACACCTCCCTGTCAGGAGTAAAGTGTCAGAGGTCTGACTGCATTAAGAAAATAAACGCCATAAATTTTCACTGTTTCAAAGTTCTAAATCATTTCTCTTTCACTAATATTCAGCTTTGTCTCTTCCAGCAGCTGCAGCCGTGTTTTACCTGCTCCTTCCATGAAACAAATAAAAACATGGAAGAAGCAAAGCCAGGAAATGAGTCTTTTAAAAATGTCGCATCATTCCTGCCGTGAAACAAAGTCAGAGGTTAATGTCTGAGCACCTGCAGAAGAATATCAGCTGCTTCAAAGCTGCAGTGAAGTAAATGCTTTGTCACGTTGCATCTAATCAGGATGTTTGTCTGGGTTCCAGGAGAAAAGTGATTTTAGTCCTTAATCAAACACAACTGTGTGAAAAGTAAGAATGAAAAGCATCAAACAGCTCACACCAACAAAACAACGACGTGAATTCATTTGAACTAACTAGTGCAGAACAGTAAACAGTCTTTTCTCTTTTGTCTGAGGCTATCCCATACATTTGTTTACCTTTTAATTCGTTTTTTCTTTTTGTTCTGTGGACAAAAAAAAAATACTGAAAATGAACATTCAGAACTCCATTTTATTCCAATAAATAAATAATCAATACAACTTTATTTATAGGCATGAAATATATTCTAATAAAATCTGGGTCACATTCATGTTTTCTAATGAGTTGAATTGTGTAGCACTCATTTCTGGAAGGAGAGTGAACGTGTTAACATTATAGATGTATTTTTTGCTTATTATTTGGCCTTAATCTGTCAAATAGTTTATCATATTGATAAAAAACAATAATAATTTCTGCTAATGATAAACTACTCTGCTTTCTGTGTCGGGTGTCTGTTTTAAGCATTTTGGTCACAACATATGAGAAATATTTGTTATTTTTGTTTTCTCTGTGCCAGAGATTATGACGTGATGGGAAGAAACAAGGGTCCGAACATCTTGTTATTCCAGCTGTAACCGTCCTGGGAAAGCAGTGCTCAGGAGTCTTACAGCGATTGTTTATTAGAGAGCTGCTAAACTTGCTGCAGTGCACCATACAAAAGGGTCTTATTATTGTTGTTTTCATGACGTTTTTGATCTTTTCCTTCAAAAGTGCAGGAAGATCTTGTGGTTGTTTGTCTTGCCATTGTCAAAGGAAGAGTCCGTTTGTTTATTTTGGTCATGCATGCAAGGCTGTGCAATAACTTGTAAATGGCGCATCGCTCAGTGCCACAGAGGGGACACAAATAGGACAGTTCACTAATGCAATGTGTGCTGTCACATCCAAACACGATGACTCAAACAAGAGCCACGCCACCTTTACATCAGCCATAAAAACACACCGATCCGACAGCCTGTGAGAAGAGTCTGACTGTCAACTGTGTGACCAGCTGAGACGACCGAGAAGGTTAAGGGTTTGCAGCGGAGGACGTCACAGAAGGAAAACACACAGCGACTCTTCTCCCGTCACCATACTCAGGATTCTTCCGAACGGTTTGGTGTAAACAGAAATAAAATGAGTTTCAGACCAAAAATGTATTTGGTTAAATTAAAAAATACAATTCTGTCTCTGCCAAAGGAAATAATTCGTTGTTTTATCCAGCAAGAGGAAAGACACAAACATATTTTTAAAGATCAAGTTGCATTAAAATAAAAAGGAACGCCTGCTTTAAGTCTACATCAGTAAAATAGTCATCAAATGTTAAGATGTGATGTGTTTTGTTCAACATCACAAAGATGCTTTTGGCCTAAAGTCAAAAGGAAGAGATGTTCTGAAGAGAAATGGTTGTGGTTTCATTCACGCACACACATGGGATCAGCAACATCTCAGATACAGCTTTCAACATAGTTTTTAGTTGTGACCCAAAAACCTTTAGAAATCCCTACTTTGTTCGATAACTCCGGTTCTAAAATGAAGCTAATGAAACTGTTTACTAAGACTCTGTCTTTGGTAAAGCCGAGCTGGACGTCGTCTAACTGTAAACAGAGCATGGGTGGGACATGTCAAAGCAATTATAACTGGAAGAGCCAGGGATTATGTGTAATCATTAGACTGTGCCCTTGGTGGATTTCAGCCTCTGAACAATGGATTAGACATATAATTGCATTTGTATATTTACAGCCCTAACAAAAAGGGGTGCTGAGTGGAACAGATTAACTCTCCAGATTCAGAGGGGAAAAAGAGACGACTGAAGGTTTAACTGCAATAATGAAATAGATGCTTCAAATGGCCTAGTGCAAAAGAAAATTAGATCAAAATTCTTTATTCTAGGCCATTTTAAAATTCATATTACATTTCATTTATTAAAAAAAGTTAAGAAAAACCATGGCACAGAGAGGGAGAGAGAGAGAGAGAGAGAGAGTGTGTGTGTGTGTGTGTGTGTGTGTGTGTGTGTGTGTGTGTGTGTGTGTGTGTGTGTGTGTGTGTGTGTGTGTGTGTGTGTTGCTGTGAAAACATTGGTAAAGTGTGACAGGTTAGGTAGGTGGAGGAAGGATTTAATGCAAACATCATTTACACTTTTGTGTTTCTGAAGGTCAGATCTTTACTTGCGGAGCAAAAATGTTGGATTTGGCATTGTAATGAATTTCAATTCAATTCAAGTTTATTTATATAGCGCCAAATCACGACAAGAGTCGTCTCAAGGCACTTCACATAATAAACATTCCAATTCACAGTTCATTAAGCCAATCAGAAATAATGTTTCCTATATAAGGAACCCAGCAAATTGCATCAAGTCACTGACTAGTGTCAGTGACTATACAGCAATCCTCATACTAAGCAAGCGTGCAGCGACAGTGGAGAGGAAAACTCCCTTTTAACAGGAAGAAACCTCCAGAGAATCCTGGCTCAGTATAAGCAGCCATCCTCCACGACTCACTGGGGATCGAGAAGACGGAGAGCACACGCACACACACACACACACACACACACACACACACACACACACACACACACACACACACACACACACACACACACACACACACACACACACACACACACACACACACACACACACACACACAGACAGACACAAGTAATGTGTCTATAGTTATATTGTGATGTCTTAGTAAATAGGTACTAGAAGTTCAAAGAAATCTAATCTATTTTACTTTACCACTTATTGCTCTACAGATCTATTTAAAATTTTACTGAAAATCACCTAAAAAGCCATTTCTACCATTTTCTGAATTCCAGTTAACAGTTTAGAATATTTGTACTTTTTTTTTTTTTTTTTTTTTTTTGTTTTGTTTTTTACTTAAAAGAGCAGATAGAGGTACTTAGGTTCATTTAGAAAAATGACGTATTTGCATCTTCTTTGACAGAATGGCAGACTGCCCTGATGCCTGGCATCTGTAGTGGTGAGTACATCGCGTTGTTTGTTGTCCAATAGCAGGCACAGGTTGAAAGACAACCGTAGATCCCGCCCCACGACTGAGGGCTGTCAATGGACTACATGTTCAGATATACAGGACGGCTTGCCAGGCTAGAACATCCATGTATTAAGATTGTTACCTGCATGTGAGTGTATTAATCAAAAACTGAATAAATGACAAGCATGTTACAGTTGGGAAGAAAGACAGGACCAAATAAGAATCCCGGCATGTTTCCATCTATTGGTTAAAAATGCAATAACTGTCTGTGGAACAAACGTGAAATACAGAGTTTCTACTTCAGATGTCAGTTGTTGTCCATCAATAAAAATGTATATACTGCCCCTGACCAAAAACACTCACCACTTGTATTTAACTAAGCAGATAGATATAAACCTCCTATTGGATAATTAATGCATGAGTGGTTATCTTTAAGCTGGCAACAAGTTACCCCAACTGGTGCAATGAGTTGCTTCTCCTTTCTTAAACAACCATGTGGAAAGACACATCTGGTGGCTGTGGGAAAAGATGTTAGCCTGTGTGAGAAGGGTCAGATCGTTGGCATCAAGCAGAGAAATCACCTAAGGAGATTGTAGAAATGACTAAAACGGGGTTAAGAACTGTCCAACGCATTATTAAAAACTGGTCTGATGAGGCCAGATTGACCCTGTTCCAGAGTGATGGAGCATCAGGGTAAGAAGAGAGGCAGATGAAGTGATGCACCCATCATGCCTAGTGCCTGTGGGGGCAGTGTTATGATCAGGGGTTGCTGCAGTTGGTCAGGTCTAGGTTCAGCAACAGGATGTGCTCCGAGAATGAGGTCAGCTGACTACCTGAATGTACTGAATGACCAGATTATTCCATCAATGGATTTGGTCTTCCATGATGACACGGGTATATTCCAAGATGACAATGCCAAGACTCATTGGGCTCAAATAGTGAAAGAGTGGTTCAGGGAGCATGAGACATATATTTCACACATGGATTGGCCACCTGAGTCCAGACCTTAGAGGTGCATTATGTAGAAATGAAGTAAAAATTACATCCTGTGGTAAAATTTGGTTACTGCAACCACTTTAAACAACTCTGGAGCTTTTTGCAATGACTGAAACATTAGACTCTTTTGGGGTTTTCTCACTGTAAAATTCTCAAAATATTCTTACACACTGCGCCTTTCACCCCACTGATAATCTTTGGGATGTGCTGGAGAAGATATTGTGCAGCAGTTAGACTCTACTATCATCAATGCAAGATCTTGGTGAAACATTAATGCAACACTGGATAATAACAAATCTTGTGACATTGCAGAAGCTTACTGAAACACTGCCACAGTGAATGTGTGCCATAATCAAAGCTGTCCAACAAAATATTAGTGACCTTTTAGTGGGTGGTGACATTTTTTGGGCTGGACAACTTGCATGTAGGCATTTTATTGTGTTATGGTGATTTGAAATGAGTTCACACACATTGTTTGCTAGCCTGCAGACAAACAAATTTCTGTCATTTTGAAGATTTCGACTGATAAATGTCCAGATAGAATATGGTACTCACTTTACGCTAGTAAAAAAAAAAGTCCTGGAATGCTGAGAGGTAAAAATTTGAAGCACTGGTGTACACCCAGTTTTTTATTTATACAGCTAATTACTACATCTTCTGTAGTCTATGCAGGAATTAGCAGAACTTAGCATAGCAGCTTGGGACATTTCATATTTCCTCCAAAGTAACCACTTTTATGAAAGTGCCTTTTGCATGAACCACTATAAAAAAAACTCAGATATTACAGAAATGTGTATCTCAAAATCAAGTAGAACACCAGCGTGTCGCAGTATTTGGGATGGAATTTCCTGTCCAAAACAATATAGAGAGTTTTAAAGTCTAAAGTCTTGATGTGTTCGACGCCCCCCAACATCCGTGTGTGAGCTCTGTGGTGCTGTTATGTACACCCGTGCGCATGCGCAATTCATTGTTTTGACTGAAAATGCCGTCGGTTTCGAAAACGGCGGCCAATGCGTCTCCTCAAACCGAGAAACCTACCCACTATACGTGAGTAATGCTGCTGCACACAATCAACAAAAGCTCTCGTTGCAGAAAATGCGAGCTGCACGCGCGCTTCTGTGCGTTAGCATTTGTAGCATTCCTCAACTCTCGTGTGTGTGTGTGTGTGCGTTAAAAATATGGTGCTTTTCCTGGCTTTGTGACTACCTTACGTTAACAACGACTGCTAACAACACCAGAGCTGAGGCAGGAAATACGAACTCGTTAATTCATTTAACTGCTAATAATATGCAGTCGGAGTCGTTGTGTTTGTTTGAGTAGGTTGGAGGACGGTTTCTAATCGTGTATTTAATGTTATGCCGTTTTCTTTGTCTGCTAAATGATTAGCCAGGAACTCGCTAACAGCCTGCTGCTTGTAAATAGCTCGGCCTTCTTTCTACGCACGTTTATGGACGTACGCCCAAAGCTTTGCACCTACCGTTACGCGAGTAAGTGTGCATAGTTTGCGTTCAGAATAGCACACCAACGTCAGTGACCCAAAATATATAGAAGGAAACCAAACAGCAGCGGAACACGACACCTCTTAGCTTAAAGCTATTTTAACCTCACCGCGTGACCCAAGCTTGTCTTATTTTTATTCTTTTTCGCTTTTTCAGATACTTGAAGGAGTTCAGGACAGAGCAGTGCCCGTTGTTCCTCCAGCACAAGTGTACGCAGCACAGACCCTTTACTTGCTTTCATTGGCATTTTCTCAACCAGCGACGAAGGCGACCGATCAGAAGGAGAGACGGGACCTTTAACTACAGCCCCGATGTCTACTGCACCAAATACGACGAGACCACGGGCATTTGCCCGGATGGAGATGAGTAAGTCCCCGTTACAGTAGACGTGATCCACATTAGGCAGCTGGAGGACATAAATAATCAGCCATGCATCGTTTCTGCTCACATACTCGTCAGTGGTTAACTTGTGTTTAAACGTAAAAAGGTTCAGAGATTTAGATCATGACCTAAATAAACTTAGTTAAACTTTATTTGATTGATGAAAGTGGATTTATTTTATTAGGGGTGAAAATCTGGTGAATTTATTAATTTATCACTTTTTTAAATTGACGTAGTACAGAAGATAACTTTTTCATTTGAGGCAGTGGATTAAAAAAGTAAAAAAAAAACAATGGTCATGATTTTGTCGCTGCTCTTTTTTATTTGTAAAATGGGCCAAATAGTCAGTATGTGTGGTTTTGATTTGCTGCAATTGATAAGATATTGTTGTGTAGACATGTTCCACACAAATCTTAACAAATCTAGAGACGTTTTTAAAATAGTTTTAAATGTATAATAAAGGTTAGACACAAATTCATTCTGGTTTTGAAAGCTGATGGTGATTCCCAGTTTTTGTTCAGCTACCAACTTTAGCCCGTTTGGATAGACTTGAACAAGTATAATGAACAAAATACTTTATTGTTCATTCTGATTAACTTGAAAAGTGATGATCTGAGAAGCAAAAACATCAACAATAAAAACACGTTGATGCTAGTATGACACAGCAATGGAAGCTGTTACAGGAGACGGTTATTTTGAATAATTGCCTGGACTGTGTTGCATTTTCAGCAGAGACATTATTTAAAAGTGAGGACACATGCTGACGTTTAGCAGTTTATTCAAATATCCTTTTCACTGATTAACTGTTTTTTCTTTTTTTAGCATATATGTTTTACACTCATTGCTTGCCATGCTTGGACTACAGCTACAGAATGATAGCAGACATTTTTCTTGGAGGCATCATTTATTTCAATTATGTTTTATTTTCCTCTCAGTATTTCCTTTGTTTTTCTCAACAGTTACAATCACTGTACTTTTCTTTTTTATGTTTCTTTTCTGTTTATTTGTGGCACCATCATTTAAAACATATCCTTAAGATTTTTAAGGGCGTGACGGGGTATTGAAAATAAAATCTCATTTAATTGGGTGCAAGGGGATGACCTAGAATGAAATATTAACTAACAGCTGAGCAGCAGTAAACTGCAGCCCTCACAATTGCTCCTCTGCTACAAAGCTATTTTTGTGTTGCTATAACAACTGTTGCTCAAGAAAGGACAATTGTCAGCTTACTATTCATACGTTTCTTGAAGCATTTGGTTTCAGCTCCGCAGCTTTTGTGAAATTGTATGTAATGATTTGTTACATCTTAAGTAATGACCCATAAAATGTGAGATTCCATAGGAAATATTAAATCAATTTGGTGGATCTTTGAATATTACTTTAACCAGAAGATCGGAACTTTTTATTGCAGGGATTAGGGAACACTTCGTATTAACCCAGAGACGAGAGAGAGAGTCGAGTTTTAAAGTTAAAGAAGATTTATTTCTAAACAATTTAAACAAGACTAACTTTAAACACCAGGTGTATGATGTAACTAAAGCCTGATTTATGCTTCTCCGTCTGTGTCAGTGCGGAGACACGCAACGCCATTATCCGTCCTTGCGTAGGGCACGCAAGTACGTACGGAGTCGAGCCCACTTTTTTAAACATCCGTCGAACGAGACGGATTACGCAAGCTTGTGATTGGTCAGGATGCCGCTGTTGTTTACAGCGCCGCCATTGCAAAGAGAGCCGAGGATAACTAGCGGCAGACACGGAGAAGCGTGAAGAATATCTCGCGAAAAAAACTCTAAAAATATGAACGTTTAGTTCTCCCGTGACTGGAGGAGTTTTATTAGTGGACGGAAATGACAGGAAACGTGGGTTTAGAGGTGGGGAGCGCATGAAGAGGTGGGAGAATGAGAGACAAATATATCCGTGTTAAAACTCTCTTATATACACAAAAAACACAATATAAACACACGATCTTGGACCGATACATGACAGGATACCACAGAAAAGCGCTACGCCCTCTGTGGTCCTGCCGGGCAATTGCTTTGCAACACTCTCCAGGAGACGGAGAAGTAGGAGAGCAAAACGCTTCCGTCAGTCCGTGCGTGTCTGTCCCTTGCGGAGCTGACGGAGAAGCATAAACCAGGCTTAAGGTGGAGTAATACTGAGGATGGTGTGTGTGTGAAAGAAATATGTTCAGAACCAGCAAATCCGGAGAGACTATTAGTTCTGATGGGAGTGAAATGGTGTTTCGCTCTAAGCTTTGGTTTGGAGATTATAACACACATTGAGACGCCATCTGTCCGTCTACGTACTCCAACAGAAGTCCCTGTTTAGATCCGGAATGTCGGGGGTCCAGCTTGGAACCGACGCCTGTAGATATGCAGCGGTTGCCGACCCTTCCAGTCTTGAGTTACTCCCAGTTCACGTCAGTTTATTGGCATCAGCGAGACCCTGAAGGGGTCGTGATGGGTCAGCTTTTATTCTGAAGGAACCGTTGCAGTAGGTGGAACATGCAACAGGTTTAATCCAGCTTGTCGTTAGGTTCTTTCCGCTTTAAGAGGAAAGTTACGGATTGGCCACTCCGATAACTTTTCTAGAACGCTTTGAACTGAAGTTAAGATGATGTGGGGCATAGTTTTATAATTTGGATGTTTTGATTTACTGTCGAATCAGAATTTGCCACAAAAGGGGATTTAACAAACACCAACAAAACCACGCCTCGCGTCAGATCTGGAAGGTTCTGATTGGATCAGAAAAAGGAAATGTGTCATGTGATATTAACATTACGTGTGATCAGTCTAGTGTCAATATTTAATGTTATATTACTTATTATACACTAGGGTTGTCACGGTATGAAAATTTAACCTCACGGTTATTGTGACCAAAATTATCACGGTTTTCGGTATTATCGCGGTATTTTTTAAACGGTGTTGCATATGTTCAGAAAGCATTGATAGTCCTGTTCTACACAAACTGAAATAGTTTTGAAAAGGTTTAACAGTGTTTATTAAACCTAAAATAACACAAAGCCTTAGCAAAAGTGCAACTTTTCACAAGTAAAGGAACAAATATCTTCTTTTTCTGGAACATGTTACAGTAGTCAGTGCAGGTTTAAATTATACAAATCCAAACATTCGAAACATAAACAATATGTAAACAAATCAAAGAAACACCACTTGTTTTCTCATATACTTGTTTTCTTCATTATCAAAATGAAAATCTAAAACTCCAGTCCACACTTGACTTGAGCACTGTACAAGTCAACCTTAAAAAATATGTATTTAAAACAAATAGCCACTTTAAACAAATTACTACAATAACTACTACACTATGTAATCAAATCCTAATGTTCAAGTATAAATGGCATTGAACAAGTAAACAAATCAATGACAAGGAACTAATTGTATATTTCTCTTCATCATCAACAAATAAGATGCTTCATCCAGCAACAGGGTGTCCGTGACACGGTTTAAATGCTGGCAGAGGACGCTGCGGCTGCAGTATATAGTGACTCGTTGCATTCTCCCTCAGCCAAAAGTCCTCACGTCATGCATTTAAGCTAAAATGCTCATGTTGACTTACCTTGCACTGGCTGTAGAGACGTGGGTGATCGTCACGCAGATGTGCCATGAGATTCGAAGTGTTGCTGCCTTCTGCAGACACTTGTTTCCTGCACCTTCTGCAAACGGGATAGCCGTCTTCTATTAACTGTCCCTCAGCATTTTTCAGAAATCCAAAATATGCCCATACTTCCGATTTAGTCTTCTTTGAGGGCGGATGGATGTCCTGGGCGCTGCCGTCTCCTCCTTCGGCCGTTATTTCAGCTTCAAAGTTTTGGTGCCGTTGCAAATTAAAAAGTGCGTGTGCGCGCCGCGGGAACTTCAGCTGAAGCGACGGTGGCTGGTGAGGGTCACCGCGCTGAAACCGCGGCCACGGTAAACCCACCGAGATAATATAGTTTTTTAAAAACTGGACGGTTATTTTTATTGTCAACTTTTTTACCGGGGTTTACCGCTATACCGGTTACCGTGACAACCCTATTATATACTATCATAGGATTATAATATCAAGTAATTAATATTCCTATTTCACAGATTGATTGAACATTAGCTTCACATGATTATTTGGACTAACAAAGTTAATTTATTATTTAAAGAGAGTTCTGTCTTCTTTCTTATTTCCTGTGCTGGCCGAGGAAGCAACAGTTTAGATAAGAGCACCGAGCATGAGTGGCCTTGGCCCATATCTTGTAGATTGTGTCAGAAACTTACGGTTTTGCTTGGGCAGAGCAAATAGAGCATGGCCTTTAGGTCAGAAATGGACAATTCATCACGCTACAGCCGTTTCTGGTACTCATCTGTAAAAATAACTTGTCTTTATGATAATTTAGGGTCCTTGTGGGATTTCTGAGTAAACACTTTTTTTGTTGCCACATTTAAAATACTTGCCCTGTGTTAACTTGTTTTGTGTTTTAATGGTCATTTAAGTGAACCAAAATACCTTTTAGAGTTGCATTTTAGGAGAATAAAGGATGTGTGTTTATACTAAAAGTTTCATTTAGGGAGTCTTTTATTTTTGGACATTCAGTGTGTGCTTGTTCTCATAGCTGCCCGTATCTACACCGGACCACTGGTGACACAGAGCGCAAGTACCACCTACGGTATTACAAGACTGGCACTTGTATCCATGAGACGGATGCTCGAGGGCATTGTGTGAAGAATGGCCTTCACTGTGCTTTTGCTCATGGCCCGCATGATCTCCGACCTCCAGTCTATGATATCAGGTGATGCACAAAGCAAATGATGACCTTTCCTGTGTGAGCCAAGGCTCTGAATGCAGGTTTCACAAGGCAGTGAACAAAAAATACATGTTATTTTTTTTTTAGCTGCAAAAGCGAGCAAGATTAAAAAAACAGTTTAATGAAGGGGGTTTGTTTTTAAGGGAGTGTAGCTTTTTAATAATAACTTTAGTTTGTGTTCACAGAGAGATTCAAGCACAAGAGGCCCTGCAGAACGGTCAGCTGGGATCTGGGGAAGGTATTCCCGATTTGCAGCCGGGTGTACTCGCTAGTCAAGCTATGATTGAGAAAACTCTGACAGAAGATCCCCGGTGGAAAGGTCCGTAGTCCCCTGATTGAAATGTAAAAATGCTGCATTAATCATCAGCTTCTACGGTCACACAGAGGAAAAGATGTAACTAAGACTTTTTTTTTCTCCAGATACGAATTTTGTTTTAGCCAATTATAAAACAGATCAGTGTACTAAGCCACCAAGACTATGCAGACAGGGCTATGCATGTCCCCACTACCACAACAGTAGGGATCGAAGGCGAAACCCACGAAAATACAAGTACAGGTAAGTGGGTTATCTGTGAACACAACGATGTGTGATTTATGACGCGAAAGCTGACGTGTCTGACTGTGTGAGCGCAGGTCGACCCCTTGTCCTAATGTGAAACATGGTGATGAATGGGGTGAGCCATCAAAGTGTGACGGTGGAGACAGCTGTCAGTATTGTCACTCTCGCACTGAACAGCAGTTCCACCCAGAGGTGAGGGAGAAATGTGTTTATTTCTCATCCCGAGAGGTTTGTGATTGACATTGCTGAAGAAATGTGAATTACTGATTTATCTAGTTTGATTGGACTGTGCTGGACTTACACTGTGGATGATTGTCTCATCTGATTGGGGAAATATTTATTTAGCATTTTCTTATTTAGTGGTGTCATTTCCCCTCATTTCAGATTTACAAATCCACAAAATGCAACGATAAACGACAAACAGGATACTGTCCCAGAGGACCATTTTGTGCATTTGCACACGTAGAAAGTAAGTAACAATGCGAGGAAGAGGCCGTCTCCAGAGTTAGTTCATGCTGATGTCAACGACAAATGATTTCATTTTTTGAATCCTTGCAGGAATTCCCTCAACAGAGGAGACCATGAACTCGTTGCTAACAGCGATACAGTCGAGTTCACAGTCCCAGCTGGGCTCTCAGCAGTTTCCAGAGTGTCCAGTCAGTGAGTGGAACAGCGGAGGAAACTCCAGCACCAGCGCAACCAGTAGCAACGGACAAATAGGAAGTGTACGTTTTTGTTTTTTAAATCAACGATCCGTTTCCTCATACTTCTTTGTATTAGGCACACTTTCATGCTTTTTCTGTTTGCCTAATTTGTGCATTTGTCATTATTTGGATTTATTTAGTTATTTTTGACCAGTTTATTTATTTATGTTTGTTTATGTTGCGATCATGTGCATTTCTCTTTCTCAGGTCTCATGTTCTAATAACTCTGCAGTAACACCCAGCTCAGGAAGTGACTGTTTGTTATCCCCAGTGGGATCCATCAGCCGGCCCATGTCACTAATTAATAGTAGTTTATGTTCAGAGTCCACCACGTCCAGTGTCTCGTCTCTGATGTCTAACTATCCCAAAGCTCCGGGCTTTGAACGTGAGGATCAGGTACACAGACCGCACTCTTTAGGTCTAGAAAGAACGAAACCCTGGCAACTGAGGGATAAACGTTTGCTCATGTTTTTGGCTTCTTTTTTCATTTAGTTCCCATGTTTTTTTCTATTTAATGCATCAAACCATTTCATCATGTTTGATGTGTTTCTGCAATAATACAGATTATTTGTTGACACCTCTTAAAAACTCTTGAAGTAGTTTTCTGAACCATGTAGACTGTAGACGCTAGGGCTGGGCGATATGGCCTAAAATTAATATCGCGATATATTGAGGATTTCTTCTCGATAGCGATAAATGGACGATAACTACGGGTATGCGCAGAAACAAAAGTTGTCCACTAGATGGTGCTGTCACATGTATTACGCTGAGTCACATTTTTACAGACTCAAGGTGGTACAGCTTCTTAAAGGGACATGAAAGTTACCAACCTACACACATCTTTTCATTTTTTATTAGCAAATTTATTGGCATGAAAAAAATTCTCGATAACAGTCAGAAATTTCGATAACGATACATTTACGATTTTATCCCCAGCCCTAGTAGATGCTCCAGGTATTATGAGCAATCCTAAACACATTGGCTATTTGGATGACTTGCTAAAGGTCGTTAACAAGATCTTGTTTATCTGATACTGGTTAACCCTTTCTTTCCACCGGCCGAGAGGGTGGTCGAGTAGCATAATAGCGGCGTTGTACCTGCTAGCGCAATCCCAACCGGGAGCAATTCTGACGCTAAACGGGAGCAAAAACGTTCCACACAGCTGATCCCATGATGTCACAAAATCATGGGAGAATTGCAACTCCACATAAGCACAGAGAAAAACGGCTGCATGTATAAAAAAAGGTCTGGGTTATTTTCTGTTTACATGAGCTACGGGGGGGTTAACGGGAATGACATGTTTACTTGCATGTGACTTTTATTTTGAAAGTTTCCAGATTTTTTTACACTGCTTTTGTGATTGACTTCCTGTGTGGTGTGGCTGTGGAGTTTGGCGTGTTTTGGAAGTGTAGCACGTAGAATATAAATTCAAAATGTAACGATGGCATCCCTCGCTTCTGGGACGCGTCCAAAAGGTTACACTTTACAGCCGGTGGAGAGGAACTCATCCACTTTAACGGCGGCTAATTGCCACGCAGTATGTTTCGCGACGCTCTTATGTGCAGTGGAAAGAAGGGGTGAGTGTGAAAGCAAAAGGCAATTTCACTAAAATGTTGTTCTTTTACAATTTGTAGATTAAGAGCAAAGGGCAGATGGAGCAAAAATTGATGGACCAGGAAAAACAGGTCTGTGTGTTTTTCATGACACATTTCAGGTTAAAGCAAAAAATCGATTTTTTTCTCAGAGGGCACCACCTAGAGGCAAAAAATGTGTTGCACCTTTAAGCCCCCCTCCCTGCTTCTGTCGTGTTTTTTATCTTGAGAGGCGCTATAGAAATGATATTTTCTTCTTTCTTCTTCTTCTAAGCAACACCTGCCATTTGTGAACGTGCATTTTTCAGCCCAGCAACAGACCCGAAACTCAGTTTCACAATGTATGGAAGGGGAGGAGGCATAGGCTCCCTAGGTGCTGGGTAGAATGTGACGCTTTGAGTCTAGAATATTGAACCTTTTCACAATATTCTAATTGTCTGAGAGTTTGAATGTGGGGTTTTCATAAGCTGTCAGCCATAATCATCACAGTTATAACAAATAAAGATATCAGACTTTACCTGTAATGAGTCTGTCTCATATATTAGTTTCACCGTTAAGTTGAACTACTGAAATAAATAAATTTTTCCACCATATCCTAATTTGTCGAGCTTGACCTATATATTAAGGACTTGTCATTAAGAAGTTATGCCAAATCTGTATCTGTTCAAAGTTCGAGTTGAAGGCGCAGAACCTTCCACCGTAAATTCTTTGCAAGTCTTTGAGGCTCTTTTGGCAAGTTTAGTCTGGGCTGTTCCTTTCCTTTTTCTGTCTTCTGTAGGTAAGCACATGTCTGACGCCTTTGTCTAATGCGGTGCGGCAGTCAAGTCAAATTAAAGGGGGCTTTATAGGACGTGGGGTGGGCTTAGCAAAATAAAAAAGTTGCCGCACTGCCTCCATTACATCACAGAACTAGGTTAAACGATCGCGTTTGCGGGCTGTTAAAGAATCACACAAAAATCCTGAAAAGGGAGGAAGCTCCAGATTTCTGCTTCAGTTAAACAGGAAATCTACTAGAAGAGAACAATAATCTTCTTTTTCTTCCAGACGCAAAACACCGTCTTCTCTCCAGTCAACCCTTTGGCATCGAGCTTCACGTCCAGCATAACATCGAGTTTGGCCTCTAGCATTGGCTCGGATAGTTCTTCACCCACCACCTTATCAACGATGAATGCAAAGGCAACTCCATTCTACCCAGGGAGCAACACGGTGGAGTCTGTCATAGGTACGCTTCTGTTAAAACTACATGGGGAAAAGCCTGGACTCCCACTCTGCTTCATGTCATCAGTGTTTGATTTATCCCACCAGGATCAGCGCTGGACCTCAAGTTCAGTGACATCAACGTTGCATCTCTTGATAAGGAACTAGAAGAGCAGGACAACAGTTTAGGTCTGGCAAGTAAGGGACTTGTTCATAATTAGCTGGATTAATGCTCGCGAAATGTTTTTGTTTAGTTACTTTTGTCGTTTTAAAGTCTGAATTGTTTTTTTTTGTCTCAGGCCATAGGGTGCTGGGTGGATCTGCTCCTGTTAACATTCCAGGCTCCTTGGCTCGATCCTCCTCCTGTAATTCCTCATCCTCACTTTCCACCTCCCCTCTAAGCTCCCTTTCCCAGTCGTTGTCGCAGTCCCTGCTGTCTGCGGCAGTTTCCCAACAGAGCCATCCTTCGAACATGCTTGCCAAGCAAGAGCACAGCCTGCTGGGAACACCCACCTCCTCTTCCCAGAACTCTCTGGGTAAGCTGATGGCGTCGCACGTTCTGCTTCAAGTTAGCTTCAGAGCATCAGATTATTTTTCCCAAAACTTAAAGATCAAAATATAGGTTTTAGAAATCGTACGTCAACATTCTAGATTGTTCTTAATAAACTGATTAACAATGAACTTTTTTGACTTGTATTTGGACCCTCAGGCTTGAACGGCGGTGCTAGCAACATTTGGGACTTTGTCAGCGGCAGCTTTTCCCCAAGTCCATCTCCGGTTTTCAGCAGTCTGACCTCCATGACCAGCAGTGCTGACCTGGCACGCCTTTTTAGAGAGCTGGATGAAGCCAAGAAGAAGATCAAACAGTGGGAGGAGGCCTGGCATCAAGTCAAACAAGTCAGTGAGACAAAACTCATCGTATTATGGTGTATTTAAAAAAAAAGTTTCCTATGAAAATTGTCTTCATTTAATGTTATGCAACGTCAACCTGTTGCTGCAGGCCTGTGAAGCGTGCCAGAAGGATGCCCTCAAAGCAAAGGAGCAAGCAAAGACTGCAGAGGCCGAGCGGCAGCTGGCAGAACAGAAATGGGAAGAAACGGATCGCAAGCTAAAAGAGCTGCAGGGAGACTTTGATTTGCTTTGTCGCACGTCTGGAACACCTCTTCTTCGTAGCTATGGAGAGCTGGACCAGCTCCCCCTCTCTAAGCTTCACTCCATCCAGAGTCAGCTACGTAATGACCTAGACCTTATAGATGGGGTAAGAAAGCCCAGATCTCACACTTTTCATTTGTAGTATCTGCATACGGCTTAAACACATTCGTATTTGTCAACAAAGCATGCTTATGAAAGAAAAAGAAAAAAAAAAAACGTGCACGCAATGTATTTTCCTAGGTTGCAGCTGATTTCGGTTCTTTTCTTCCCCAACAGGTAATTTATCAGCTTCAGTCAAAGAAATGTATAGTTTGCCAAAAGCATGACCGTTGCATTGTTCTGCAGCCTTGCCAACATTATGCTCTATGTGAGACCTGTGCACCTAGTAAAGCAGAATGTCCTTACTGTAGAGCTAAGATACTGAAGTGGTGACGCACTGCAACTCCAGGTACTGTTTAAAGAATTAGCTCTTTTAAAAAACGACTTATAGATATTACATTTTTAATCAGCAATGTCTTTTTTTCTTACCTTGATGGATGAAAAGATGTTTGAGTTACAAAGCAAATATTGTTATTAATCAGGTTGCTTGAAGACCCAATGCTTTCTATATAAACGCCTGTTAAGTAACTGCAAACAAGGATTGTGGTGACACAAAATGAGCTAACACCTAAAGCAGTTTTCTTCAACTACAGAGGAATAAATGTAAATAAAAACTAATAAAATTACACCAATAGAGAAAGTTGATATCTGAGCACTTGATCGTGACAGAAAATCACATTTCAAATGATTAAATATGCCAGAAAGCACCAGTGTTTAGAAGCCTTTTTGTTACTCGAGTATGATTAATTTACATGAGTATATATTCTGGAAGTTGAGAGTATTTAATAAAAAAATATTACTTTGGTGGAAATATTCTGAAGTAGTAAATCATCTTTAATAACCAATAATGTATACTACTAACTAAGTACTAGGTAATCAAATAATTCAAGGAAACTTTAAACAAAGTATTCCTCTTTAAATGAATAAAGTTCTTTTTGTAAATCCCATAGTTCTTTATTTTAAATGTTTGTTTTTCATATGCAACCAGTCAAACCATATTTTTGACCAAGTACCCGAGGAAGTTTGATTATTATTTTTGTTGTTTTAATTAAGAGCACTTTGTTGACTTGGGGCTTTATTAATGGGTATGTAGACATTTGCTTTAAGCTGCTTCGTAGGCACTCTGTTGTCTCGTTTTAGGTTTTCTACGGTTTGTTTTTCTACATACGCTAACGTCTGACGCTTCTGTGTGTACTGTGAAACGTTTGGATATTTCTTGTTAAATCGCAGCATGGTTCTACATATTAAGATTTCATAATAGTTTCTACTATAGTTAGATTTATAAAATTTTAATCCAATAATTACAAATGTAAGCTAAGTGGTAGGCATAACCAGCAGCTGTAATATCAGTAAGGCACATCCTACACGTTAGGGCTGATTTTCACTCAGTACGTTTTGTTACAGTATGTAGAAATTTCAATAGCCTACTCATTAGAGGATTGTATTTGCTAAGAGCCTAAAACGGTGATTTTTGTAGGAATCTAGCCTCTGGACTTTGTCTAGAACATATCGGCCTCTAACTCTAAAGTGCCTTGGCTTAGTTGAAAAGGTTATGTACAGAATCATCACAGCAAACACAGGTAGTTCAAACTTGTGCACGGGTTTGTGAGTATTTAACTTTGCAGAAGCATCAATAGATGTTTGACGACACATGTCAATAAATGCATAGATTTCCTTTTATTTGGCCAAACTTCATGAAGTATTTGAGCAGGAAAAAAAGTCACGGCTGAAATTGTCAGTGCCTGTGTCCAGATCCCCCTCCAGCCTACCAGCCAGCAGCTCATTCCTTGGTTGTGGTGCTCTTTTGGTGCAGCTTCACCCTTTTGAGGTTAGGTATTTCAATTTTACATTTGGGAGTATGCAAACTTAGGACAAATGGAATTTGTACAGCAATGTAAAATGCTTTTTGTTTTCAACAGTTGAGTTAGTCTTTTTTTTTTCTTGAAAGATTTCTGCAGAAAATGAAGAATTCGTAGTTTATTTGTAAGGTGGAATTTGCATAGGATTTGTGTGTAGGTTGCTCTGTTTGAAATGACCTTCTACTGTGTAAAAGACAAAAAAGGAAAAAGAAAAAAAAAACGTTATATTCTTGCTTTAAATTCAGTAGAACGTTATGTATTTCCACTTTTTGCTACTTCTAAATATGGGATAATGCATTGTTTACATTCTCACAAATGACAATTCTAAGCAACTCAGAGGAAAGTCATAAAAACGCTACGATGTTTTAGCGTTTTCATTACTATATTACAGCATATACAGCAGGCTAAACACTTCTGGTATTGCATGCTTGCGATATAGTAACCACAATTTAAAAAAAAAAAGTAAACAAAAAATGTCTGCACTGTGTCACACTGCCAGAATACTTGTAATATAGCGTAGGTAAGGCTTAATACTTTCTGCAAGCTTCGCTGCTACTGGAAAAGGTATTAATGTAGTATCTCGTAAAACATTTAGATGTTTGAATGTTGTACATCCACAGCTCAGATTTCATAAAGTATAAAATATTCTCTTATGCATCTACGTTTACTTTTTCTTAAATTGCTCATTTGTAAATCCATCCAACCATCGTCTGAACCCGCTTGTCCATGTAGGGTCGCGGGGGGGGGGCTGGTGCCTATCTCCAGCGGTCAATGGGCAATCAGGCGGGGTACACCCTGGACAGAGCCAGTCCATCGCAGCATTTGTAAATCATGTAAGACAAAGTTTTAGTACTTTTGTAAATCACTTAAAATGATGTCATGGTTCTGTGTAGATTTGGATTTTTTTCCTATTTTGAAATTGGTTTTGTTGTGTTTCTGTCCTCCTGTACACTGTACAGCGGTGTATAGTGCAGCTACGTCACAGTCTTTTGGTCTAGCCAACATAACTAAAGATGTCTAGTGTGAAAATGTCAGAATAAACCAAAGTGGTGTTCTAGTCGCTGCCAGATGTGTATTGTAGAAGAAATTATACTCAAACAGAGTTTAAATAACGCTCAAGTATTAACTGGATTAGCCATTCTGGTCTATGAAGCTATTAATGACAGTCGAGCACAAAGATTCATCACTTCTAACTGATTAATTCCGATCTTTTTTAGTAGCTTAATTTCGTATTTTAATTAGATTTTTATTCTGATTTGGTAGGATCTGAACATACTAGGAGTTAGCTTTCTGCTTAAACCGTTTATAGATTAACTGGCCCTTTTTTTGCAGTTTAACCAAAGACCTATACCATTTTTCTACTACATTTCATTTAACTCTAAATTGATCAGATGAAAATAAGTAGATCACCTAGTACCTTAAATAGATTAAAAACATCATTGAAAATAATTGACGGCATTTCTTTTCTATTTAAAGTTATCAGTTTAGATGCAGATGATCAACACTTCATGGGTCTGATCCTTACATCTGTGTATTTGTGGCGTTTCATGGCGGGTTGTGCAGAACTTGCCAGCACACTCTGACCTTAAGCCAGAATTCAATGCCCGTTTCATTGTTGTCTCCAGTGAAGGAATGTCTTGGTTACGTGACATTTGTGCTTCTGAAGTGGCCATAAAAACTTCACTACAGTACTGTTTTGGCAAAGTTTTTGTTCACTTCGCTTCATCTAAATAATTAGAGAATCTGTACATTTGTGTTCTGTGTTTGTATGGCACCCCAATGGTGACTGTAAGGTGCTTCGCTTTTGTCTGAATCTTATTTCTTACAGACGGGGTCCAAAATCATGATTTTGTTAGTTTTTCTTGGGGCAGAAAATGATTGTGAATTATTAATGGCAGATACAGACACAGTTACAACAGGACTTGCTTTGGATCCTCATTCTTGGCCAATTTCAAGCTTTCTAAAAAGAAAAAAAGTGTTCCCCATTTTGGTGAACGCAGATTTCATCAGTTCTTTAGTTTGTCTTTTGCTTTTATTTTGGAACTTAACAGACCAATTACTTTCAACTAAATCTGTGCCTTTAATAATCGCATAATGTTGATTGACTGAAGAGAAAAAAATAAAAACCTGGTGAATCAGAATCAAAATTGTAGTGCCTTACAATAGTTCTGCGGACCACAGTGTGACTACTAAAGCTTGGTTTATGCTTGACGCATTCACCTTCTGCGCGGTGATGCGGCTCGCGGATGGAACGCGCTTCACAACTCGCAGCGTTAACGGTTCATGTGGCTCGTCTCTGCGGTGAGCCAATATTCTCCCAAACTGTAGGGGGCAGCATGGAGCTCTACGGCATGCATCCAACACTACACCATAGTAGAAGTAGAAATTACTGTTTACAACATGGCATTCCAGCAGTTTTTAACAGCGTCCTCGTCTTTTCCGACAGTGCGAGCTATTTCTCTCCAAGAATTATTATCAACATGTTGATCACGGTGGTCTCTGAGAGCTGAATCATACAAATGTCTGTATTTACGAACCTCTGCCGTACTAGTTCTTGCCGGTCCGCCATGTTTTTCCGCGTTCGACCGTTCGCGTGGTTAGAAATTTTCCTAGGTGCGCGTTGCGGAAATTTTGGGCCGTGTGGAGGGGCGGGGTTGTTAAAATGACGCAATTTCGCCGTGCGGATCTCGCAGACGCGTCAAGCATAAACCAACCTTTAGGGTCCCGTTTATTTGGACCATGAGCTGAAAAACAAACGCGATAAGATTTGCTTACCAATTTGAATAAAAACAAATATGTATAATTTAAATACAACTGTCTGTCTTTGTCTGTATTTGCCATTCAGTTCTAAAAACAACCCAGCAATACCTACAACCACTGAATATTTCATTTTCTTTGGATTTAGTTATTTGGCACCAAAATGTCCTTTTCTATGTTTTGTTTTGTTTTTTTCTTTGTCAGGAAAAGCACCAAATAGGAGGACTCTTGTAAATGAATATGGGTAAATATCATTAAGCTCTGCTCTGCGTTGGAATAGTTGAATCTATTTTGCATTGTTGTTAGATGTTGTGTCCTTTTTGTTTTTAACTTTATAAAAATGGAGCCAGAAGATTTATGCAATCTTGTACGTGTCTGAGTAATGATGTCTGGAGCTGTTCAGTTAAATGGAAATATTAGTACAAAGTGATGAGTGTGTGGAACCGGTTGATCAATGTACTCAAAAGATTTTCACTAGAAATGTTATTTTAACATCAAAATCCTAAAATATTGAATGTATTGTTCTAAATCAGATATTCAACTAATAGGTCACTAGACATTATGAAGCGCAGTTAATTGATTACAATGTAGCATTTAGTTGTGAACTGCTATTCAATAAAATATATTAGAATTTAAACAAATGCAAGTTTTCAAGTTTCTGTTTGAAAGATTTTCCATTTCAGGGTCATCTGAGTGTGTTAAGTCTGGGAAAGCTGCATCTGGTGTTATTTAGCTAACGGGTCTGGAGTCAGTTTACAGAAAGATGCCCCTTATTTTATGGAAAGCCGTGTGGATACACGGGGAACTCTACTGGTATTTGTAGGAGTTACTCTGATCATTTTTTATGTTGTGAACACACAGACAGGTGCAAGTTTTAGAATACTAGCGATTTCTCTTTTACATTAAGGATTGTGCACCACTCATTTACAGTAGTGTATTAATAGCTTGTTAACGTTTGTTAAATTGTTACACTGCAGTTATGCAATGGTTTACAACATTCACTAATTATTTTTTATCATCTTGAGAATTAAAATAATTTTTCATCTGACATGTGTGAATATTTTTGTCTCAGAACAGTCTTGAACACAGACAGTAGTAACATTTATTAGAGTTTAACAACTCAAAAGCATAGTTAGATCATCCAAAGCTGGTCTTTTAAAAAACATTTGACCGTGACAATTTTTTTAAGCAGACGTAGCAGTAAAAAGAGAAGCTCCATAACCAGAAAAGCACTTGTTACTCTGTAGGATCACAGTTCTCCTGAGACGAGGCAGCAAAGAGGTGACGTATCAGCTGCTTCACCTAAGAATGTCTAACAGTTCAGACTTATTCACATTAATCAAAACAGCTCTCTGCTCATTTTACATACGGGTTCAAAGCAGAAGCTTTTAGAGGAGGATCTAATCTTATCGCTGTCTCATGCTCTGGATAGATGAACAGTTCCACTTTCTGGAGGACGGTCTTTTCCTTGTAAACTGGTGTAGAGTAAAAAGGGAGGGAACGCTTTTCTATGCTTTCCTCTATGGGGAGGAAACAAAACCAGAGATAATTTTGTCCCCCAATAAACACTAAACCAGTCTCTTGACAAACCACAGGCATTACTTTTTCCTTCCCAGATGATGAAACTGTAAGTACTTCTGCATTTCCTCTGCTCATGGTCCAGTATGCTCATCCGACCGGCCACCAGATGGCAGCGTGACCCCAGCAGCTGCTGCAGCATCTCCAGCTGAGAAGGCAGCTGGCAGAGCGGTGGATAATTTAAGGGCATCAGCAGATAGGCTGTTTGCCCGAGGGCTCCATGTATCAGGGACTCTGTTACCAGTAAACAAGCAAGCTGCATTTGTGTACAGGTTACAAAGGTCGCCTGGAACAGAAACAGGTTTCAACATCACTTCCAGGAGAACCCTATAAAAGCTCTTAAATGTCTTTTTAAAGGCCTTAAATTATCAAATTAAATAAGTTACTGTATTCAAGGATATGTGCATGATTTTACAAAACTTTTCATGCACTGTGACCCCCCCCCCCCCCCCACCCCTACACACACACACACACACACACTACCTTCATTTGGTCCTGATGCTGCCAGAACTGCCAAGCCCTCTGGTGCAACATTTGGTCCATAGCTCTGTTTGTGTTCCCCAGAGCCAAAGGAGTCTGCACACAAAGTCTGTACCAGAAAAACCAACAGAAAATGTTTAATAATCGATTCTAGCCTAAAAAATTGAGTTTGAAGTTGATCAGTCCTGTGTTTTCGCTCTCACCCTGTTCCCGTCTCGGACTGATCTCAGCACAGCAGAAACATCTCAACTCAACTGATTATTTTGATGATTTTGATCCTATGAAAGCAAAACCTGTTAAATACTCTTTTCCACTTGGATGCAATATGAAGGACAGCGATGACAGGTGCTGTAACTAGACCGTACCGTAACAGGTCATCCACAGGGAGGCATCCTCTTGGCATAGCACATCCAGATCTTGCTTCACAGCGTTTTTCCCCCAAAAGCAGCCAGCGAGCCAGAGGGTTACTACCCGCAGGCCCACTAACAGCTCTCCTGGAGTTTGTGGATTATTTTTGCCAGATCATGATTCCAGGCCTGGTTTTAGGCACAGTGAACAGCTCCTGTCGAGCTGAACAGAAAGATTTCATCTCAGAAGAATCACCAACAGTGTGTTTGAGTGAAACCTCCCCTCCATGGATTTAACGTCTCTACACAGCACAATAAACATGAACTAGTTTCTCCTCAAAGCTGAAGAGGGAGGCTTGAATGAGAGCCACCTCAGGAGTGGGTGATATCAGAATGATGAGGTCAGGAGGATTCCTGAGCTGCAAGAGCCTCTTCATGGAAAAGTCAACTTTCCCTATCACCATTTCATTTGGATTCATTTTCATTGATAGATATTTGCCTTTTTAAAATCTAAAACATGACGGACACGCCATGCCATCCCCCGGCCCTCAGGACAATGCAAAGTTGCAAAATATGTTCAGCATTTAAGAAGATTGAACAAAGTTAAAGGTGCATTATGTAGAAATGAAGTAAAAATGACATCCTGTGGTAAAATGTGGTTACTGCAACAACTTTTAACAACTCTGGGGCGTTTTGCCAGCTGTCGTCAAATTACAATAAATGGCGCTGCAGCATTAGCATTAGCTCGCAGGAGACATGTCAACCCCACAGCAGTTTTGCCCCCCCCCCCCCCCCCCCCCCCCCCCCGTTTTGAAAGGAGAAAAACTGAAATCCAGCAGCTGGATATGAGGTATGTTTCAGTTTGACCTTCCTTCCAAAATGACTGAAACATTAGACTCTTCTGGGATCTGTTTCCTCATTCAACATCTCAAGCTGTGGGGAAAACATGCTCTGCAAATGCTAACAAAATCTTGAAAAATACTGAAAACATATAGGACATGTCAAGTGTTCGCCTTTCATTTTGTTGATAAAATCCATAATGGGTTCATATTAGCTTTTAAGGTCTTGAGCAGCTTTAGAATCAAATATTTATGCCACGGTTCAAGAGCTTAAGACAAGAGTAACACAAAATGAAATGTTGGC